TGGCTAGCACATGAGGATGAAGCTGTTCATCAGTGACGGCACCCTCTTTGCTAGCTAGATGCAAAAGGATGATGCAGAGGTCATCTTCCTAGCTCCTCAGTTACTTTATTTTCACAGAAAAGACCGCTTTACAATAGACCCTTCCTCCTTCTCTCATAGGAGGTCTATGCTTAATCCTGTTAGGATTCAAAGCACTTTTTGCTATGGACTTCCAAGTCTGTGAGGATTTTCACCACTGAAGGACCAGTAGAAAGTTCTGAAATGCAGCAGGAAAAATGTTGGTTTTGTTGGATGCAGGGACTGCCAGGAAGACTGAGATATTAAATATAGCTGCATGGTAGCCCGTGCTAGGGTTCTGGGAGGAGGTATGTTGGCGTATCTAAGAACAGTTCAGTCTGTAGTAGTAGCCATAATCCCTACCACTTTTCAGTGTTTACCACAAACTGACCTACTTCTTTCATTGATGTAGCTAGCATCAGTCCCAGAGAATAACGTTAGGATCCAACATCTCATCCCTCTATGGATGGATAATTGTTAAGAACAAATGGTACAGACAACATCTTTACTCTTTAACTAGAACTTTGTAAAACCCATCCCCCTTTTTAAAACTTACCTTGTGGGTTTTTGTTTTTTTTTTCAGTAATGAGGTATAGAATAAAGCAATTGTAACTTTTTTCCCCCATTTGCTTTTCTAAAAGAAGGGGGCAGGTCTGGTAGATGCAGGTTTATGTGGTTTTGCTATTTTGTTGCTTGGAGTTTTTTTTGGTAACAGTTAATGGGAAAATTTATATATATATTTTTAACAGCACACATACATTCTGTAGAGAGAAATATAATGATTAAAAAGATGTAGTTCATAATGTAGTAAATATGTAGTGCTAAATTAGCCACAGGCTGATACCTGGTTTGAGGAGAAGAAATTGAGCTATATGCTTCTCTGGTTAATGCTGCCAGAGTTGATGTGATAATACTTTATACAAAAAGAAAATGCAGATTAATAAAGACTTGGTTTAAATGTAATGAAATACTATTACAATAAGTTTATACAAGAAGAAAAAGCCTTTACCTGCCATAGACTTAAACATCTGACATTCTGTAGCTGAAGACATATTCATGAACTGAAGACTATTCCACAACTTTTTCCATTATGAAGTGTGGTTTTCAGATTATTTGAATGGGACCTACTAGCTGGATGGTCTATATTTTTTGTGGTTTGAATTCACGAATATGTTTATAGAGTTCTGCAGTGAAACTATTCAGAGTTAACATTTCTGTATATTGTCAAATGGTTCTTCTCTGTAGTGCAAGATACTATAGGATACTTGAAAATACTTGAAGATATTGGACATGTACTTCACATCTTTGTAGCTCTTTATTTTATACCTAGAGACTGGCTGTTAGACCAAGATGAAGCATCAATACCTTATAAACTATATATTTTATACGTGAGGAAATGACTGACCAGTTGTTTTTTTTTAAGGGTGGGTGTTGAAGTCTGCATTATGATGACAAAACCAGGTACTGTTTTCCTTTTTTATTTTTCCTGTGACATTTCAATCCATTGGAAGTTAAATGTGAATTGGGTGTATGAAGCAGTTTTACAGGTGTAGATCATTTACTGAATTGCAATAAAATTTGTCTTCTAACATGAAAAATAGCATTAATGTGCTATTTCCAAAAGCCTTTTATTATAATTTGGCTGATCATCCTTTCTTCTTTGCCTGACTGAAGGTACGTATGATGTTCTAGTGTCTAATTTCAGGAGAGGCTGTTTGTATGGTTTTGTATCTGGTATGTTCAACTAAATGCCTGCCTCACACCCAACACCAGTATCACAAGCAATTGCTGTCAGTCAGGCTGCTACCAGTGGAGGAGATGCCTACTCAGTAATCAGGGAGTGAAGAGAACAGGAAGGCAGAGGGACAATTACAGGTCTTGGAAAGTGTCTGTGAGTACACACACGCATATGTGCTGCTGTTCACTCTGTGTCAAATTGCAAGATCTGATGGCGTCATCCTGCGGGCTCACTGGGGGAGACACTGAGAGGGTGAATGCAGCCTGCTCCATGCTGAGGTGGTGCTGGTGGCCGGGGCCCTGGACAGGTTTGGGGGACTGCAGTTGATCCCTGCTGCCAGGCATGCTGTGATTGTGCAAGATGCCAAACCTGCTTCTTGGAAATTGAGGCCATCTCAATTATCTAGGCTCATTAGACCTGCTGCTTCTAATTCCTCTGCAGGGCATTACGGAGATGGACATAAGGAAGGCCCTGGATGCAGCTGTTGGGTAAGCCCAGCTTCAAAAACACATTCACTTCATCACAGGTGGCCTTGAATCTTTCAGGCTTCCTGCAAGGGGAAGGAACAGAAAGGATAAGGGTGTTGGTGAGCAAAGTGTGTCATGGAACTGCAGAGTTCATAGCACTTCCAAATATCAGTCTGAGGTGGTTTTATAGAAAGTGGTGTTTATTAACATCTGCTGGAGAGTTTGAGTGTTAAGCAATGATAGCTGACTGACTGGTCCAAACGTGTTTAGAAATGTTATCATTTGTTATAGTGATGACTTGGAATGTTGTCACAAAGAAATACCAATGTCAGGGAGCTGCACTGAGCAGATCTTTGTTTAAAAGTTATTTCACATGGCAAAAATTCTCATTTTTTTTTTTCTTCCCTGTTAACCTGAAGATTCGTTAATAGAACAAACTATTTGGTCCTGCAGTAAATGGGAACTGTTCTTCATTTCAGTGACAGTGGCATTTTAAGATGCAGATCCTACAATGTTTATCACTGGTGGATCTGATGTTTGTTTTGAGGAAAGTTTTTTCTATCAGTGGCATAAAAATACACAAGGACTGTAAATTACATGAGAGGGTCTTTTAGATGCCTTGTGACTAGGAGAACCCCAGGTTACCTCTCTGAGATTTAAGCCATGTGCAGGTCCTGCTCCCAAGGAAAGCTACTGTTACATTGCAAAACTGAACGCTGAATACTGAAATGTGTTATTTTACATAAAACTCAATAACCTGTTTGGTAGCTTGGAAAACCCTTGGATACAGATGAAAAATAAATGCAAAAGTTCGAGTGATTCATTTCAAAGGACAATTGTTCAAAGCCCATTATACCTACAGAGGTGAGTAAGAATTGAAACTACAGCTCTGAGACATTGTGTGTGAAGAAGCTTTGGAATAATTAAATATTTGAAGGTGTTTCCTGACTTGGCTGTTTGCCCCTTTCCCTTTTTTGTTCTGGCATCTCTCCTCCTCACCTCCAATTGTTTCCAGCTTCTGTCGCAAGCACTCATTATGCTTGCTCAGTTGTGTTAAATTTTGGGCCAATATAATGCACTGTTCCTCAGCACAGCAGATGCACTACTTCTCACAACATTAAAGTACAAATGAAATGGCAATCTAGATGTCTTCAAATAATGTTTGCTTATCATTAAATAACAAAATTTAACAAGGATTATAAAGCATAAAGCAGTTTTTATCCCAGATTTTCAGGCAAAAGTATTCAACTCTACTCAGGTGTAGAATTTCTGGAGCAGTTTTTACATCCAACTGCTCTGTAGCAGCTTAGTGTGAGGCAACTTCAAGTGATAGTTAAAGTGGAGGGCTTGGGAGAGTGGGGCATCATATCTGTATGGAAGTGTTACTTTGGAGCAGCAGTGTTTGTAGTGTTTTGCTCCTGGCAGTCCAAATAGATCCAACTGTGTCAATGGAAAGAAGTTCTATGTTTTGCAAGACTGTAAGGCAGCACACACACACTGGTACTATTGGAAAAAGCAGGCAAGTTTTCTGATGTCATGCCTTTTTCCAAATGTGAACTGGCCAAACCTTGCTGCCTTGCAAAGCATCTGTGACATGTAACTGAATGGGACTCTGGTCCACACAACTGAGAAAATTTAGTTCAAGATTGAAGTGCTATGTAATATCTATATGAGCAAAAACTTTGCTATTGGTTTTAGGATCAGTATGCATAATTATAAAAATCCTGCTTGCGTATACTTCTTGCAGATACTTGCCATATTTGGCAGATATTTGAAGGTATTTTCATCCCTAAGACATTGTGATTTTTTTTTTTTTATTATTTTTAATTGTTGGAAAAAACAAACAAGCAGTTCTATGTGTGGGTCTCTTCCTGTTGAACCGCTCTGCGATGTTTTTCTTTCATCATACTTATTGCTGAAGTTGAGTCTTACGAATTCTTCTAGTTTCCCTCTCCCAGTAAAGATCTTAGTAGTACCCAGTGCAGTCATCTGTCACTGTGACTCTGTAGTTGAATAGAAATAGTTGAGAAGGCTACAGAAAGACATCTGGGTTTGATCTGAGCTTCTGTCTGTTTGGACTTTACAGAGATATTTTAATGGCAGTTCTTCATCATAAACAAATGAGTGCTACATGTGAAATACTAGCTAGGATCCTTCCCAAAGCACTTTGAGATTTACGTATAAGATGGTTTCATTAACTAAGATAAGTTTTATATTGTTCTGTTTGTTTTCCAAGCTGTGTTGGGATCTTTTGATCTAACTCAGGCATTCCCAAATATTTATGTGTCCCTTTATATTTGAGTTTACAGAAGTAAGAAAGATGCTTTGCTTTTATGGTGTTTCAGAAATCTCCAGTTGCTTGGATATATGGCTCTGCAGTGTTTCCTCCTGTTTTTTTTTTTTTTCTGCTACACTCTTCGTATGTAGATTTTATGCTTTTTGTCAGATCTTGTGATTGATTTTAATTGAATTAATATTAATCTAGTTCATTGAGGAACCTCAACTGGAAAATGCCTCAAATACCAACAGCTTTTCCGTAAGGTAGCTTGTAGTTGTGTGCCTCAGTGGAAGATGGCTCCTCTGTGCATCTGGAAGATGTTTGCAGAGGCACTGTGACTGCTACTGCTGTGTGAGAGGTGTGTGGATGTGCAAATTCTAATTGTAGGTATGATTGTTTATTCATGAGATCATGGAAACTGTTGGGAAAGTCTTCATTCATTCATTACTTTCTGTTGGTAAGGGGAGGCTGGGGTATGGTGCAGGGCTGGAGAATCCTTGGAGTGTTTAATGAGCAGCTTTCTGCGTTTATAGATGAGTTTGACTAAGACTGAAACTGTCTAGAAGATACAATAGGCTGTTTCTCACTGGGTTTTAAAAGAGAATAACTTTGATCATTTCAAACGCAATGAAGCCTGATGCTCCAGTGAGAAAGGAAAGTGGTAATTTATAGCTACCATTAAGGAAACAAAGACAAAGACTGAGGGAAAGTTTCATTCTGAAGATTTATTAATGTGTATAAACCACCCTTACAACTAGAAATAGCTTGGTATTTCTCACAGAACGAAACAAAAGACAAAAGACAGTGAACTGGGGATGGGAGGGAGAAGTGGAAAAGAATACTGCATGCTTTGGCTTGTGCCCTGAAAGCTCAAACAACATTTAGCAACTTACAATTTCAGTGAATAATGGGTAGGCTGCTTTCACCTGCCAAAGGAAGGAAATCTGTGGGAAATCCCTGGCTGGGAAAGGAGGTGGGATGGGGCTTGGGGCTGGTGATGTTGATACGCAGATAGACTTCCCGGTATCAATGTGGTGCGGGTTCACGCGGGTACAGTGTGAGAAGGGGAATGCATGTGCTGCGGTGGGGGGTAATCACTTAGTAAAGACTATAATACTGTGTGTGTGAAGAAAAGCAAGCAAGGCTGGAGTGTGCAGTGTGTGCATATGTATGTGTGTGTGTGTATATATGGGTTATGACGGGATGCCGGCACAGGGTATCTTTGCATGGGCTTGTCTAGTAGAAAGAGACCGTCTTCCGGGCCGCTACAGGAAGGGGAGCCCCCGTTCAAATACACTTGCCGCTGGCGCTAACAGGCTGCGTGTGAGGTATTTCATGTACCTTGGGGAAGCGCCGGGCTCCCCGGGACATCTGTGTTTGGGGTGCTGTGCAGGTGTTTGAGCGCCGGTGCCGAGGGTGGGTGCGCTGCTGCGGTCGGTGGAGGGTTTTCATGTGGGATGGGGCGGGCAGGGAGGACCGGCCGCCCCGGCCCGGGGAGGGGAGGCCCGCCCAGCCCTCGCCGCTGCTGCCCGCCGCCCCGCGCCCGCTGTCAGACACCTCCCTCCGCCGCCGCCGCCTCCTCCCGCCCGGCGGCAGCAGCAGCAGCAGCCGCAGCGCAGCCGCCGCCGCAGCGCCATCGATGGGGTCCGGCGGCCGCCGCAGCGCGGCGGGGGCGCGGGCGCTGCCGCTGCTGCTCCTGCTGCTGCCCACGCCGGGCGCCCCGGCCGCCCTGCCCCTGCCCGGTGAGTGCCCCGCCGCCGGCCCGCCCTCAGCCCTGGACAGCGGCTCCCCGCGGGGCACCTGGCGCTGCCGGCGGGCGGGTGTCCCCCTGTCCCCTCAGGGAGCCGGGCCGGGCGGGCGGGAGGGGGGCGCCGTTGGCGAAGGGAAGGGGAGCCGCAGGCGAGAGGTGGCTGTTACCGCGTGAGGTGCGGCCGTTGGCGGGGCGAGCGCGGACCGTTACCGGAGAGGGAGGTCGCTGTCGGCAGGGCCCTGCAGGCACCGGCGGTGACTTTCCGATGCCGGTTCCCGGGAGCACGGTGACCCCGAGGGGCACGGCAGGCGGTTAGCGTGTCGCCTTTGCCGGAGTAGCGGGGAGGTAAACTGTGCGTGTGCCAGGGCTCGCTCTGCCTTTGGCCGCCGAGGAATAACGCCGGTAATTCTTCCTGCAACCTCCTCCGCGGCCGTCCTTACTGCCAAGTTTAAGGCTGCGATGTTTGCTCACAGCCTCCCTTCTCCAGGGTCTTTCTTCAGCTCAGGATACTGTCATTGCAAGAGGAAATCCCCTTCCCTGTGCCTACCGATTATTTTTCCAGCCCTTTTCCCCATACTTCGGTATGCGCTGATGCTGGTTTTTTTTTTTTGCTGCTGTTCTTTCCTGCACACTGCAGACCGCAGATGATTAGTGTAAAAATAAACTAGCAAAAAGGCCACTTCGCCGCTGGCGTGAGATCTGGTTGATGTCTCTGTGTCCTGGCCTTGGAGGAAGCCCCCTCCCTCGTGTGTGTTTTCTGGGCTCCCCTAGCAGGGGCTGGGAAGGGGAGAGCTTTCGAGGCAGGGACATGCAGCCAGCACGTGTGGCTAATGCTTCTTTCTGCCCGCTGGCTTCCCTTCCCTACCCATCCTTTCCTCCTGCCTCATCTACCTGAATCCCTATGAGGGAGGCCTCAGCTGTTCCCTGCACCCGTCCTTGCATCTGGCTCCCTCAGTACACTGCATGCCATAATTTAGAGGCTTGACTTTTCCACAAATTCTGCTGCCCTCTTTGTCCCATGTTCCCCTCACTTTCTGGTGGTGGTATCAGGGGACCCCATCACTGCTGTCAGTTCTATGTGCACCTGAGAGGCAGGAGAGCAGTGCTGCTCAAGCACTGGCTCTTTGCCTTGTTTCCAGCTGCCAAACGCCATTAGTAGTTAAAACCAAGTGAATACTTTCTGCAGTTGGCAGCTGCTGCAGTAGCTACAGGCATATTTTGTGACTTGGGGGGGGGAGGAGATGAATGCTATAATTGTTAATGGGAGAGGTGCTGGTTGAAATTCCCCTTCAGAAGGTGAACCCCACTATAAAAAGTTGACTGTTTAAGTATAGTCCCCTCCTGTAATTAATCCCCTTGTTCTAGGAGTTTGTACCAATATGGGGTGCTGCCTCTGCAATTCTTCCTTTTTAGCCAGTTGCTGGAAATCTTCCTGTTACTGTGTTTGAATTCTCTTCTGCTGTATGAAAAACTTCTGCTGATCTCTTCTGCTGCCTGTAACTTTCCTTCCTCTTCTTCTGTCTACACTTCTCTGTCTCCAGGACTTCTTCCTGCTGGTGTTTCCCTTTCTCCTCATTTCCCCTCCTCTGAAGTTTCCACCTGGATATTTTGCTTCAGTATGCTGTGCTTTGTGATGGCTGGCCAGGTGATTTGGCAATGCTACTCACCAGCTACTATTCTTGTATTTAAAACATTGGTGTTATCTATAAGTTACACATCTGTTTAATGGTAAGTCAGTTTTTTACATATTGGTGGTTGGCTGTGATTTTCAAAGTACATTTCTGTAAATTCCCTTTATTAGTTTAAAAATGATTTGGCTTCCTGAGGGTGATGTCATGGATGTGCTCAAGAGCTTTTCAATAGCTGTTCTTTGTTAACCAGAAATATTAACAGCCTCTAATGAATCTCTGTAAAACTGTCAGCTAAATCTCACTTAGAATCTAATCCATAATATATTATTTTGGGTGTATTTATAGGTGGGTACAAAAGCATAACACAAACTTATCTGAATTGTGTACAAATAAATCTGTATGCAAGTATAACTTTATACAAATTAAAGTTCAGATATGGTCTCTGCATATTTCTGTCCTGACTCCCATATAATATACATGGTTGCATCTTGAGTGGGTGCTCAGCCTTATGTCACCTCATCAGCAATGTGTGCTGGAGCCGTGCTCTGTGCTCCACCTTCTGACATCTCTTCTGAATCTGTTGTCTTCCCACAGATGTGGATGAGTGTGCTGTGGGGCTTGATGACTGCCACCCAGATGCTATTTGTCAAAACACTCCGAAACTGTACAAGTGCATGTGCAAAGTGGGTTACACTGGCGAGGGGAAGAAATGTGAAGGTAAAGTGAGCCAAGCAATATGCTCTGCCTGTGTCAGCATGAGATATTGATAAGATAAAACCATTAAAAATAATGGCTTTGGAATATAGAGGGTGATTTGAAATCAAAATAGTCGTTGTTTCTTCACCCTATTTACTACTTGTTTACAAAATCAAAGGCTAACAGACTCCATGGTTTTTTATCTAGTAATATCACTTGGTCTAATAATTAGTTGCTTATTCTAATAATTAGTTCCTTAACCAGCAGCCTTAAAAAGTATAAGGTAAAGCTAGATGGGAATCTGAGGGTGTTTTGTCACTTTTTAGAAACATTTGGCAAGTAATTTGTTAAATATGGTCTATTTACAGGACAATGATGACTTCAGACAGCAGTTGCTGCTCATATTTACACAGTTGCATCTCTATTCCATTCAAGCAATTATCCATCATATTGACTTTTGCTTTATTCCTTAGACATTGATGAATGTGATAATGACTTTAATGGAGGCTGTGTCCACGAGTGTTTCAACATTCCAGGAAATTACCGCTGTACTTGCTATGATGGCTTTATGTTGGCTCATGATGGCCACAACTGCCTGGGTAAGAAGTGTGTTTGTGACTATTGTGAGTAGGGATGCTAACATAACCCTTTAGCTGCATTCATGGGAAATGCATGGTGATGTGCTGGGCTGAATCGGCTCAGCTAGAAAAGAATGTTACAAGTAGGACTAAGGAATTCCAGGTACCATATACCATCCCAGTGTGGCTCTTTTCTTCTCTGTAAATGAGGAAATGAGGAAGATAATTGTGCTACATTTCTGTGAAGTGCTTTGGATTAAAATATGTGAAGTGCCATTTATTATTATGCTAAATGAGTATATGTAAAAGAGCATGTGCTATCATTGTCTTTTCTATTCTAAAGTTAGTTTAGGATAAGTTTTCAGGTGTGTTTCTGGGCTCCGAAATCTTCCCACTCCTACATTTGTAATGTGTGTGTTTCTCATTCTTGCTGGGTCTGAGTACATACTCACGTGCAAGCTGTAAGGAAAGGATAATTGTGAGCGTGCAGTAGCTGTATATAACAGAGGCCATTGAAGTACAGAGGGACGAAGCCAAATGCTTGGAGTTTCTCTAGGTGGTTAATAAGAAGCAAAGTATGCACCTCTGGAAACATGTTCAATCCTGGCAGTGCTCCCTTGACCTGGCATGCGCATGTTCTCTCACAAAGGCTTTGATAGTTTACTTCTTTTTGCCAGCAGGTGAAAAATCTTTAAAAATGGGTAACAAGACTGTGTGATTTTTATCCTTCGTCACACAATGAAGCAGTGTACAGAAATGCATGAGTTGCCAGCCTGTTGGCCATGTGCTATGCACTTGGTGATATATCCTTGGGGCAGAGTCTCATGGTGATGAAGCTATACTGCTTCCAGGACACACAGTGGGTAAACTTGTGTGGCTCTGCCCCGTGCTGTGGTACCTGTGCCATTTACTTTTTCAGAGATGCCTCTGTTTTTCTTTTCTGCTGCACTGGGTGTGGATCCGCCAGGACAGGCTCCCATCCCCATGTCAATCAGGGAGAAACTTGCTCTCACAGCCTAGCTGGAGTATTTCCCACTAATGTATGGCATACCAGGTGGGAGATGAGACCACCCCTATGCTGTATCTTATGCTGGAACAAATCAGAAAAGCTCTGGATTCAGCTGGCATTGTGTTGGGTTTTACCTGCTGGGAATCTGGTGCATGCCCACAGATTGATTTTGTTACAGTGTAAGTGGAGGAGAAGATGAAGTTACTAAGTTCCAAGTATTTCACTAAAGAATGGAGAGAGGGAAGCAAAATATCTGCTGATACTTTAATAAGAAGGGCATCTTGTATTTCTCTAGTGCATTTGTGTAAACTTGGTGGAGTTCAGGTGAGGTTACCATGAAGGGCTGAATGAATGAAACCCTTGCCTCTTATACTGCCACCAAAGGGTGTATTCTCTTTGTATCCAGTAGCCTCTCTAGAACATACTTCAGCTGACTTGTTTGTGATCAGTAAGACCTAGATGTATCTTTGACCAAAATTGACCACCTGCTTTGTTACTAGGGAGCTCAGTATTACGTGGCAGACTTGTAAGAATAAAATAAAATGTCATTGACATGCAATGAAGTTTTTACCACTGACCTGCCAGTTTTGAGATGTGATGTAAATGTTAAATAAATGTTTTGGTATGCAGCAAATTGGATCACATCTTCTCTTAATCTGTTTATTTATTTTGTTCAAGCCAGGGTTGCCCTCCTCTCACCCTTATTTTTGAAGATCTCATCTGTGTGCCTGGGTTTAAGCCAAATAGACAATTACTTGTTGGAAAGAGATGATTTTTTTTGAAAGCTTTCCAAGGTCTGCATGACAGAAACATCTGCTGGAGTTCAAATCTGTGGTACTAAAGACCCATGGTGGCTGTTTATTCATGATTGTTTGCACATTCACATGACTGTAGAACTCCAAAATATTCAGCTTCTTTGTGATGGAGATATGTCAGCCGCTCTTTTTTGCTACAGCAGGTCACATTCTTTTGCATCCAATTGGCTTACTCATTGCCTTTAGTAGAAATTTAATCTGTTGTAATACTATATTATACTGCTTACTAAAAGCCTTCCTCTTTCTCCTTTTTAAGACAGCTGTTTTATGCCAGAAATGCTACAATGTTAAATTAAAAACATTGTACTATTAGCACAGGAACAATGAACAGAACAGGGAGCAAACATGATGTTCTATATAAAGTTGCAAATGAGACCAGTGCTTTGCCTCAGCAAGGTCTTGTCCTGGTTTTTAAGGATCTGAGCATTTTTACTTCCTGTTCAAATTGGCATTTCTGATAATTACAATAGGAAAATTCATTGCTTATGAAGGGGTAAAATTCCAGACAACTGGAATTTGAGTTGAACATCCTGTTCAGAGGCTTAGCTAAAGTTTTGCTACTTTTTGTTTCTCTTGGTTGTCTTGAAAGCAGAGCCCTCCTTCTATATTCTCTAGTATTGCTGAAGCTCTGCATGTTGCAAAATCAACATTAAAACTAAAACTTTTGCTGTTGTCTTTGACTGCAGTCAGGCAACACAGCAGCAGCCTGGATGGTAAGTGGTGATGATCTAGAGCTGAGGGAGGAGGATTTATTATCAATCTGAGCATTAGAACAGATATGATGTATGAATTCTAGCTAGAGTGAAAATAAGGAGCGAAAATAGGTTTTAAGCTAAACTTATTTTGAGGTTTGCTTTTGCTTTTGCTTCAGAATGGGGAGCTTTCTGTAAAAACACCTTTTATAGCTTGATCGTGTTTGGATGCATCCCACTAAAGACAGAACCACATATGGATGATCAATCTAGATGTAAATATGCTAGGCTGCTGAGCGGTAGTACTAAACAGCTGCACTGAGAGACAGAGTATGTTCACATAGGTGGTATGGAGCCCTGTTTCTGAATCCACTGAGGGTACTTTGTTGTAACCAGTGGCTCTGGTTAGTTTGCCAGCATTTCTTGGAAGCCCTGTGATTGATGGGGAAAACTGTGAGCAGGGAAAGAGCAGCAGCAAAAATATACTTTCCCAAGGGTGACAGCAGAACATCAACAGCTAGCCTGGGGTGTGTAAGCTACCTGGGTGGTTATGTGCTGAGTAGATGTCTATCTGTACTGTATATTGAGTGGCTGCTGCCAATATGAGTGTAGTGGTGTTAGTACAAAGCTGATATCTCTTTTTTTTTTTTTCAGATACAGATGAATGCATGTACAACAATGGTGGTTGTCAACATATTTGTGTCAACACTGTGGGGAGCTACGAATGTCGCTGTAAGGAAGGGTTCTTTCTAAGTGATAACCAGCACACGTGCATCCACCGCTCAGAAGGTACTGGCTGCTTCCCTTCAGGCACCAAGCAGGCGTTTTGGACAGAAGCTAACTGCAAAATCTCTAAAGCATCTTTAAAAATATTTTTAGGTTGAGTTTTTCAAAGCTGTGAAGGGTCTTGAAGTCTCAACTCCTTTTAAAAGGAAGAGTATGTCAGAATCTTCTAAGTGACTTTGAAGACTCTTTACATCCTTTCTGCCCCTTTGATCCTAACCTGTATGTCTGCAGTGCTGTGTTTTGTTAAAGGCTGTACTGCTCTACTTCCAGTGTACTTTATGCTCTGTTGTGCAGCTAAGCTGTGTCCTGATCCAGGGAATGGTGACAAATTGAAGGCCAGTGAGTTCTGACCACTTCCAATGCCTTTACTTAGTTACAGAGCAATACCTGCATTACTTGCAGGTACCTTTTAGGTTCCCTGTACAGTGTTTAGATTTCAGCTAAGGGATTTACTGTTTGTCAGACCCAAAGGTATTCAAATCACATTCTTTGTTTTGAGTGAAACCTTTATGAAGTAACCTTTGAGAGATCAGAGAGCCTTGGATATCTAATTAAACTTCAGATTGAACAAAATTATTTTGGATGCCCTTGGGCAATACTTTAAAGTGGTTGCTCAGATCATGGAGTTGTCCATTGAACTGTACAGTGAATCTCTTACCAAGAAGTATTTTAAACTGTAAAGCTTTCTTTAATCTATGGCTTATCGTTGGCATGACTGTAAGAGGAATCTGAGAATGAATAAACAAACCCTACTTAAAAAAATCCCCATAGTGAAAAGATCAACATTTACAGATATATATGGCCATCACTGATGAGTGCACTGAGGTGGCTGTCATCGGCTTTATAGCTGAATTGATCTTTTGTTTGAATTAAGAATTTGTGTTCTCAGCTACTCTGTATTGGGCTTGGTATCGCAGGGGTCTGCTGGTGCATGGTGATTTCTCAGGCCATTGCTCAGCTTGCCACAGCAGGAGCTGAGCCAGGAGTGGGGACAAGCAGTAAGGCTGCAGGGGTGGGGCAAGATATCTCCCTTCATGTTGCCTTGCTATCAGTGATGTGTGTGTGTGTGCATGGATTATGAATCTAAGGATGAAAATCAGTAGCTTCCACTTCTTGTCTTGTCCAATACCAAGAGAGGAAAATCTTCCAACTCTTTATTCTTACTTGCATACCTTCTACTCTCCAGAACTAACAGCAGCAGCATTTACTGTCATTAAGAGTTGTTCCCTAAATTGTACCTTTGGAAATTTTTCAGCTTATGCTGTGACTGTTTACCTCCTGCCTCCCTGCCATTTCTGTGAACAATCCATGGGATTCCCCACCTTTTTTTTCCTTGGGTGGGCAGGTCTGTTGTAAGGCAAATCTCATTGCTTCATCTTTCCCCTCACTTTGTTCTCTGCTTTTCTGCTTGTTGCTAGGTCTTCTGTTCTCTGCCTTGTGTATGCATCTCTCAGTGTGTATACTTTATTAGTTCTCTTTTGAGACCTCTCAACATTGATTGAAACGGTGTTTGGCATCTACTGTCTAGACCATCTGTTCAGTTTTGCTTCTTATTTGTAATGTGAGGTAGTATTTCCTTCCCTGTCTCCCAGCCCAGTTAAGAGAGTGCATACAATAGTTCTTGAGAGACCTTTCTAGTGGTCTGCAATACTTTACATACTCAGAAAAAGAGTGAACTGGACTTGAAATAGGAAAAATAGAGGGGCTTGAAGCTGTTGTATTCCTCCTAGTGTATGACCAGGGTAACTAAGAGTTATCTACCTTTCCAAGTTTATCTGCAAGTATTGTCTGGGTTCCCTGTCACCTGCTGTGACATGGGATTCACGGTCAGATAGCTATTTAGAGGAGAGTTTGATAATTAAAGCTGATTTTTCATCTGATGTGACAGTGTTGATCTGAAGCACAGTGCAGTTCTGAGAGGGCTGAATGGTTCTGCCTAACCCCCTCCTTAAACCACAGGAACTCAGAGTATCTTGGGACGTTGTGCACAATCCTATTTTTTTTTCTTGACTGACTGCTCTGAATGAGCTCTTCTTCACCTGTGTGTGGAAGAATGGATTTACTCTGGGAGACTGTTATAGTAGTTGGCAGGGCAGCCATGCACTTGTAGCGTTTCTGTTTTTAACTTGCTCCTTATTAGAGAATACAAAAATTTGAAGAAAAACAGTTTTTCACAAGTAAATATGTAGTACATCTTGTGGTTGCTGTTGCTATAGGTCAACAAAGCTTGCTACTCTTTCTTGTGGTATTTCACAGTCATAGTTATCTACTGTTGGACTGAATCAATGGTAGTGAACCGGATGTGCATGTTGATAGTCACATTTGAAATCACTGTGTGGACTGAAAGCTTGTACACAGGAGACCGTCTTAGCTACTGCTCTTAGAGCCCTCCTGGCTGTGGAGAACAGTCAGACAACCAGCAAACTTTTAGAAAAAGTTGCCTTAATACAAGGGTGTACAAAGCATTAAAAAAGACTAAAGTGTTCTTGGGATGTCCTGTTCTGCTGGCTGTTCTGCTGACAAATGCTCCTCACCATTTGTCTATCAGAGGGTGCCTCTGAGAATCTCTGGTATTGCTCCTTAGAATTGCATCCTCTCCCTCTGTTCTATTGAGCACCTGTTTGAATGTGCCCTAAGTGGAGCCTTAATGTTCTTAGCAGGTTGGTGGTCATGTCCCTAGTCTTCTGTGTAAAAAAGATTTAAACACAGAGATTAATGTGACCTGATAGGGAAATACTGTGCTGGCTTTTTGCTTTTGTCTTGCCAGTGATGAAAGTGCTCAGATCTCACTGAAGCTTGCTGGGTAATTTCATGAAAGTCTAGTCATCAGGAATGGCTTGGGGTCCACTAGGCTAGGCAGGCACTGGGTTTGGCTTTCTTGGCTGTGTGTGGTGACCAAGAGACTCATCCTAGACACTTGTGCACCAGTAGAGCAGTCTCTCCTGCAAGCGAAACTGTGTGTCTGAGAAGCATGTGGTGGGATTTGACCAAAATTTGCTTGGGCTTTGGTTCTGGACCACAATCTGCCATTGCAACAGCTCTGGAACAGTGTGACCTGGGAGACTTTGTATCCGTGAAGGAGTTTACAGTCACACAACATTTGTAGTTTTACAGACATTTCTTATATAAAACCTTATAAAATGGGGCTGAGGAGAAATCTACCACATTTGGAAACAAGCAGCAGCTTCATAGTAAATGCTATATTTACTATGTGTCTTCTATGAAATGCTGTCTTTTGGGTCAGCTAAATTTTGGTGGGTTTGGTCATGTACCTTGTTACACAATGGGTACTTTGTTATTAAAATGTGCCCAGGTTTGGGAAGTGCAGTTTTAGCTTTCTCTGGGAGACCTGATTGAATTCTGCTCACTTAGAATGGAGAATCCAAAACTGAGCATTTAAGCCATTTGTCTGATGTCAGTGAACTTTACCAAAGTACCTGCTTGAGCAGTTTCCCCTTTGGTAGCTCAATAGAGACAAAAGAAGAACTTTATTAACAGAAACCAGGCTGATAATTCTGTTAATGCTTTCTAAGACCTGTGAGCTAACAGACCAAATCACACTGCATGCTTAAGAACAGAAATGTCACAGAAACACTAGAGTTAATGAAGCTAATTTATGGCCTCATAGGTTGTCTTGTTCCTTGACTGACAGCACAATAATGGATCACAGCTTTCATGTGGGCTCTTTGAGCTGTGGCTGTGTGCTTCAGGATTTGAAGTGTCATTGTCTTGTTAGACTTCTACAAAGTCTTCACTGTGGGAAAGGAATCAAAAAGCCATTACAGAAAAATAACTTAGGATCTGCAATATCCATTATTTTGTTGCTTAAAGCTGTCTTAATAGAGAAAGGGTACTGTAGCTTGTGCTTCAGATGGCGAGACTGGCCCTGTATAGAGCAAGGACCTAACTGAAGTGTAGTGGAATAGTGGTGACGAGCTGAGCTCTGCTTGCCAATACAGAGTTTTTGTTTCACTGAGTAATAAGACTGTGAAAAGGGCTTGTGTAAGTTTAAAAAATATCTAGGATGTGGAATTGTTCAAACAATCCCTTTTTAGCAACACAGTCACCTTCTCATTCTCTCTGATTGTACATCTGCTCAACTCAGGAGAAGTTCACTGTGGTAATGTGGGATAAGCCCTTGCAGCCAAAGTGTGCTTTACTTGGTCTTCTCACATGAAGTATTCTCACCAAGGAGGAAGAGATTTTGGTGTAATATGTCTTATAAGAGCCCAAGACAGAAAATTTGATGACAATGGTGTGTTTCCTGTAAAACTGAGGAGAGCATTCAGTTGCCCTCTCTCCCAATTTTGTGGCACTGTGGAATACTACAGCAAAAACCTTTGGTATATTGTTAGAAGAAAAGCTGTTCTTGTAGTTTGGCTTAATGATCCCAATTATAATCCACCCAGCTGCTGTATAGTTTTAAGTTGTGTGTGTACAAATTGTGTCACCATCTTGCCAATACAAAGTAAAAGAAGTTTTTGCAATAATTTCAGCAACAATTCCTTCCTATTTAATTGACTTCAACTTTTTGCAAAGACTAGACCAGACACTTTGGCAGGCATTGGGTGCTGGTACATGAACAGCTCGTAACTGTCAGAAACAAAAATGGGCAGATTGTTCTTAGGAGGTGCACCAAAAGGAAGGAAGTCACTAGTGTAATGTTGCTTTTTCATTTGGTTAAAACAGGCACTGGCACTAAATTCTGTCCAGCTGGGAAGGTAGACATACAGAATGCTGTGATAAACCCCAGTGGGGTTATTTTGGGAGGTATTTATTGAAATCAGAAAAAAATTGAAAACGAAATGGTAATCAGAAAAGAGAATTGACATACAACATATGTGCAATCTGTATATCTGCCTGGTCTCTACTTGGTCACTGCTGAGGTAGGTTATGACTTTGGGAATCTGCTTCATACGCCAGTAATTGAAATAGGAATGACTCTGTGACTGTTAGCCTAGGCACTCCTGTGTCTCGTGGCTGCTCTTTAAAGCAGAGAAATAAGAGCTTCACTTAAGGCTTTGATTTTGCAGGTATCAGCCACCTTGCAGTTTTTATAAAAGATACAAGGAGGTTTTGCAATCACTGGTATAGAGTGAGAGCATTGGATGAGAATGCAGATGCTGTACAGATCTAGGGATGTTGCTTTTTCACTTCGCAGTCAAAGAATATGGGCACAGAAGATCACAGATGGAGAAATCTTGGAGCCATTGGTTTTGCAGGACTGGACTTCCTACCTTTCCTTTCTTGTAAGCTTATACTTCTTGTCCTAACACTGTAGTGTTCCCACATGTAGCAGGCTGTTGCCTGTGTGTGTATTCAACTGACTTCACCTCTGTGCCTGGCAAAATCCTGGAGCAGATTCTCCTGGAGGGCATGCTAAGGCACACGAAAATCAACAAGGTGCTTGGTGACTGCCAGCATGGCTTCACTAAGGGGAAATCCTGCCTGATCAATTTGGTGGCCTTCAATGATGGGGCTACAGAACTGATGGACAGGGGTAGAGCAGTTGATGTCATCTACCTGGACTTGTGCAAAGCATTCGACACTGTCCCACACAACATCCTTGTCTCTAAATTGGAGCGACATCAATTTGATGGATGGACCACTCGGTGGATAAAGAACTGGCTGGATGGCTGCACACAAAGAGTTGTGGTCAATGGCTCAATGTCCAGCTGGAGACCAGTAACAAGTGGTGTCCCTCAGGGATCGGTGTTGAGGCTGGTCTTGTTCAGCATCTTTGCTGGTGACATGGACAGTGGGATTGAGTGCGCGCTCAGCAAGTTTGCCGATGACACCAAGCTGTGTGGTTTGGTTGATACGCTGGAGGGAAGGAATGCCATCCAGAGGGATCTTGACACGCTTGTGAGGTGGGCTGATGCCAACCTGATGAAGTTTAACCATGACAAGTGCAAGGTCCTACACCTGGGTTGGAGCAATCCCAGGCACTGGTACAGGTTGGGCAGAGAAGAGATTCAGAGCAGGCCTGCAGAGAAGGACTTGGGGGTGTTGGTTGATGAGAAACTGAACATGAGCCGGCTTCAGTGTGCGTTCGCAGCCCAGAAAGCCAACTGTATCCTGGGCTGCATCAAAAGGAGCGTGACCAGCAGGTTGAAGGAGGTGATCCTGCCCCTCTACTCTGCTCTTGTGAGACCTCACCTGGAGTATTGTGTGCAGTTCTGGTGTCCTCAACATAAAAAGGACATGGAACTGTTGGAACAAGTCCAGAGGAGGGCCACGAGGATGATCAGGGGACTGGAGCACCTCCCGTATGAAGATAGGCTGAGAAAGTTGGGGCTGTTCAGCCTGGAGAAGAGAAGGCTGTGTGGAGACCTCCTAGCAGCCTTCCAGTATCTGAAGGGGGCCTATAGGGATGCCTGGGAGGGACTCTTCATTAGGGACTGTAGTGATAGGACAAGGGGTAATGGGTTAAAACTTAAACAGGGGAAGTTTAGATTGGATATAAGGAAGAAATTCTTTACTGTGAGGTGCTGAGGCACTGGAATGGGTTGCCCATGGAGGCTGTGAATGCTCCATCCCTGGCAGTGTTCAAGGCCAGGTTGGACAGAGCCTTGGGTGACATGGTGTAGTGTGAGGTGTCCCTGCCCATGGCAGAGTGGTTGGAACTAGGTGATCTTAAGGTCCTTTCCAACCCTAACTATTCTATGATTCTATGACTTTATGTGACTGTTGCCTGCACACAAGGATGATGAGGATGCTGATGCTCCTGCACTTGTCCTGTTTTGCAGAAGGTATGAGCTGCATGAATAAAGATCATGGCTGTGCCCACATCTGCAGAGAAACGCCCAAAGGAGGAGTTGCCTGTGAATGCCGACCAGGATTTGAGCTGTCCAAGAACCAGAGGAGCTGCATTTGTATGCAACATTCTGCATATGCTTATGGTTTAAAAAAAAAACAAACAACACACCCCCCCCCAAAAATAGTGTTCTGTTTGCAGTGATACTGGTATGGTATAGCTAAACTGTCATGACATGCCTAAAATGTGTGCATTTGAATTGAACTAAAATCAGTGGCTTTACTGGACACTATCACACCAGTCTATTGGTTGCTACAGTCTATTGGTTGTAGTTTGAGAATTGCACCATCATTCATGCACCATCATTCATGCACCATCATTCAAACAGGAAGTTTGGCTCTGCAAGAGAGCTCTGCAGTGTTTAAGTCTTCAGGAAGGTGGCACGTTAGAGGTGTCTTGGATAGTCAAATGGAGACAAAAATTGCACACTGTCTTTCAAAGATGCTGGAAGTACTTGTGAGATGTAACATATATTTTCTTCCTAGTAACATGTAATCATGGAAATGGTGGCTGTCAACATACATGTGATGATGCAGATAATGGGCCTATTTGTGGATGTCACCCCAAGTACATCATGCATATAGATGGGAAAACCTGCTTGGGTCAGTATATGGTGGGGAGAGGTAGTCTTCTGTTGATGACCAGCTCTAACTGGTGTGGTGTTGCTGTATGTCCATGATTAATGCTCCTCATAATAGTATGGCTAGAAAGTATCAAGGAATCTAAAACTAAAAAAACTGCTAATGCATGAGTAAATTGGTTGGGTCCTGCCAACTATTACTTCCCTGCATAAGTAGCTACCTAATATTACCGCAGCCTGTAATTGCCATGGGTCCCTCTGAAGCACAAGGCTTGTCACTAGCCAAAGAAGATTCCCCCTTCTCTTCAGGGTATTTTGGGTTCAGTTTCTTGTATAGCATGAGCCAGAGAGTGTAACCAAGATGTATATCTGTTAAAACCAGAACTCAGGAGTAAATTGAAGTACAGTTTTTGCAAGGCAGTTATCGAGAAAAAAAACGACTTAAGATTTATATAAAACTCACTTAAGATTTATATTCCAGTCTCTGGATTCCAGAGTTTGTTGCCTGTTGACTGAAATCACTGAAATGCTCAGGCATGACTGGTTGGTCCTTCTATTAGTCCATGATAGATGAGGACAACGTGCTCTTAACTGAGCAGTTTATGACAGTTCAATTAGTTCTTTCATCTTGTTGCTGTTCACTACATCCGTAGCACTTCATCTGCTTTGTTGAGATTCCTGAAACAAACATCAGTTGTAAGAAAGCAACAAAAGCACAGAAGTATTCTCATGGTTTTGACTGAAGGGTTGACATGATTTTCATTATTACTTTATTTAAAAAAAAAATATTTCTGCCTAGTCTGTTCTGACAATCTGTGATAATTCAGCATGTGATGCAGCTGATTGCATGTGTGTACATATTGAATATCAGGTGGGGCTTCTGGTCTGGGCACCTTTACTCATTTGTTTTTTTCATGTTCATTACAGAGAGGGAAGAGACTGCTGTTGAAATTTCTGAGGGAAACACTACAGCAGGAGCTGATGTGGACAAGAGGGTGAAGCGACGGTTGCTTATGGGTAAAAGTGCTTATCCAAAATGATTTTGCTATTTCCTGAAACCTTTTAGATTGAAGAATTGTTGGGGCTTTTTTTACTGTAACCATCATAGCTCTTAGCTGAATTCTGCCTGAGATGTGCCAGTCCATTTTAAGGAAATAATATTATTACATAATGTATAAAAACCTAAGTATGTTATTTGTGGCATTCAGTAGGAGGTGTTAGGAAGTTGCTCTTGAAGTAGCATATATTTCCATGGTTCTAATTCATCATGGGAATGCAGTACAATCCCTCTGTGCCACAGGTTTAGTGTGATTGTGGAGGAAACACTGTTTTACCTGCTTATTTTCAATTGAAAATACACTTCTGCTTGGAATACAATTGGGCACAGTGGTGGGTCTAGAAAGACATGTTAGGATGCAAGCACATCTTATTCTTCCTAGAGGTGTTTGCATCTGGCCCAGAATGCCAGCCTGAGACTGTCACTACTGGGAAGGCACTGGCATGGGAAGCAATCACTGTGGTCTCAGGGCAGCTGAGTCAGTGGGTGTCCACCTCTCAGAAGCCCTCACTCCAGGCAGTCAGGGTGATTTACCATGCTTACTGTCATTTGCACAGAAGTGCACTGGAACATGGAGGCTGAGGAAGAAACTACCAGAAGTATAGGGCTCTGAGCTCCCGAATCCATATTTAGACATATAAATTAAGAGCCTCATTTAAAAAACAAAACCAAAAAACCTCACAAAACCAACCAAACAAACATAAAAAACAACCAACCAACCCACAGCAATATGTTTCTGTGGAAAGGGGAAGGAAGAAGAGTCACTCTGTCTTCACTTGCAAGTTAGACACAACCTCCCAGCATTGAATGTGAGGTGGGAGACTGGGGGGAAATGAACCAGTAAAGATCTCAAAACCTGAGAATAAATAATATACGCTGATGCTGCAGAAAACATGGAGACAGAGCTAGAAAGAGAGGAGTTCAAAAAGCAGATGGAAAAAATGATCTTTGCATCTCTCTGGATCAGTATGTGCTGGAAAAAATTGCATTTGGATAGCCAGTGGAAAGGCTGTTAGACTGGCTGTGATGGTTAGACTGACTGCAAGAAGAAGAATGCCAAAGAGTGAGTTATTTCTATTTAGCTGGATGTGAAGGAACTGTATCTAAGGGGTGTTCAGAAGGTTTGGTGAGATTTATACGTGGTTTGCATAGGGGTAGTTAAAGGAGCATGAGGTTGAGATGGCATCTGGCTGAGAAGGCAGGAGGAGCGCTCAGTGTAGGTGTAATCCACCATGACTGGGAACACAGGTAGCATGTGAAGGTGTGTTGGAAATGATTTAAGAGAACTGGTTTAGTAGGGCTGAGTGTAATCGGGTATCTGAGTGTTGGTGGGAAATGTGCAGAGTTTCAGCTGGGATTGAATGTGGGCCTAAGGAGTCAGACTGACAGGAACAGATGAATCACTGAGGAGTGGGGATTTATGTTTGAAGATGAGAATATTCAGAGACAATATTTCAGTTTGTAGAGTCTGCAAAAAACATGGATGTAGCTGAGGCAGGGATTTTGCCAACACATGTATTTAGTAGCTGCTCATGTATACTAGGCTAAATGTAGTTGAATAGCAGTGTGCTTGGAACCATGCCTTCTATCACATGATGTTTCTTGCTGCCATTATAATATCCTTGAGCAAACTTCAGTTTTATGTTGTTGGCTAGAAACGTGTGCGGTAAATAATGGTGGCTGTGATCGTACATGTAAAGATACATCTACCGGAGTTCACTGCAGCTGTCCTGTTGGGTTCACACTCCAGTTTGATGGGAAGACATGTAAAGGTGAGTTTTATACTGGTGGGCACATACATACCAGCACCTTATCATAAGGTATTCATCTTCAAATGCAGGTAATCCAAGTCAGTACGTGTAATCTGACCTAAGAAAGGATGCAGCCAGGGGTAGATGCGCAGTTTCCATTGTGTCAGGTGCATCACACCACCTCACCACTTTCACCCCTCCTGCCAAGCTGGCCTCATTTTTCACAGTAGGAGGTAATACAGGTCTGTGGTAAAGTAGAGGTCTTTACTGGGGGAGGTAGGCATGTCTGTTCTTACAGGCATTAGTTCAATAAACTGCTATTTTAACCACAGTCAGCTGGGCATCAGAACAGTTTAGAAGTAAATATCAGTGTGTAAATAGGGATATGTGAATAGAATTACTCATACTGGCCCAAGCAGCTCTGGTGAGAGTACTGGAAAGAAGCAAATGGACATTTAGGTTGTATATTAGAATACATTTTCCAGTAATTAGATATTAAGACTGTTCTGCAGGCAAAAAATGATGGAATCCACATGCCTGAGTCAGTTAATATTAAAGAACTCATTCTAATGTTGGCATGAAAAGGATGGGGTAGCTCAGGAAGTTTCCTCTGTCTGAGATTTCTGCAGGGATTAGGGAGAGGAAATGGAGAGAATGTTTAAAAAGCTAAAACCTGTTAGAGAAGATTTAAGTCAAAATATTTCCAAGCATAACTTAGGGAAATTATCTTTTGCAAATACATGCACCCAAGTGTAATTGACAGCAATATGTTAAATGAAAGCAAGTAACGCTGTCATGGGGCTGAGTGGGCCAGATCATTCATAAGAGCTGGATCTGATCATCCTTAAAATTTGTAATAGTTCACTAGATTTTGTTTCTGGGCTTCATTAACCAATTGGATTTGTCTGTGTTCTGGATCTGGCAGTGGAAGTATGTTGGATGTAGTGTGTTTATTTGCTGAAGCACTTTTTTTTGTTACAGATATTGATGAATGCCAGTCCAATAATGGAGGCTGTGATCATTTCTGTAAAAACACTGTTGGCAGTTTTGATTGCAGCTGCAGAAAAGGATTTAAATTGTTAACAGATGAGAAGTCTTGTCAAGGTATGTGCACTGGAGTAGCAATAGAAGTAGAACAAATCAGTGTGGCTTGGACATCTACTACAATGATGAAGTGATAATGGACTCCAGAATAATTTCCATGCCTCAGTTTTGGGTTTTCTTGTTTTGTTTTCTTTTCAGAACAGCTGTTGAGTTAATACATACAGTTGGCTTGATACTATTGTAGGAGGTATGTTTAATGGCACAGTGAACTATTATCTGGAAGCAACAGAAATAGCATCATATTAAAAAGATTTTTATGAGGATAATGCTCCCCCTCTTCTATTAATGATTTTCAAGTAATTTACAGGGAAAAAATAGGCAATATCTCTCTGTCCATCTTACTGACTGGTTTATCATTGCAGTGAAATTATTTTTTCTTAATGAGACATTTAGATGCCATGAATTCATTATGTAAAGAAAAAAAGACATTATGTGATCTATGAAATTATAGGCCTGTAGACACACTGAAATTGCTATTCCCTAAAACATAGAACATTTGATTTTTAGGTTGACGTGTATTTTTCTGTGAGACTTGCAAAGCATGTTTGCTTTTCTGTATAATGGTTTGTAAATATAGATTTAGCAATCCTGTTTAAGATGCTTAAATACATTAAAATGTAAAGATCAGAGTGGTTCGTGGTTTTGGAAAAGCTACAGTATGAAACAATGTAAAGCCATCAGCCAGTTGGAAGGTGAATAATTCCATTTCCTAGACAACCCACTGACGTTAATGATGAATTTCAGAAAGCTAAACTGACCAACAGAACATAGTTTTCACCTGGGTTTTTGATGCATTCTTATCCTTTCAGAATCAGACAAAGAACAACAATTTTACGGAACAAACTTGCTATAAAACCACAACATTGGTGGTGTTGTATGTTTGTTTGTTCTTTTTTGTTTTTAATGGAATCTCTTTATGAATGTATTTTTAAGATTTACATCCCCCTTTTGTCACTGTCACTTCCCTAGATTGTTTCAAAAGTTGTATCTTGAAGCATGCCAAAGCCCAAGAAAAAATGATGTAATGTGTCAGTCATGCTGATGGGAACTTTTGTGCATCGTACAACATTTTTACATGTCATGCATAATGTACTAACACAGAAGTTTTAGGTGCTTTTGATGGTATAATAGATACTTAGGGCTTCATAGTGATGGGAATTTGACCACTTTACCGTTCAATTCACCAAGATCATGATTAGGCTATTGTAGTAACTATGCTTTACAACGATGTGTGCAAAGTGATTATAGTGCCAAGGAAAACTGCCACTGGAGAAAACAGGTATCTTGGCAGCCTTTAGAGACAGACATTAAAGTCTAAATATGCAGTATAATGGATCTGTGGAAAAATTCAACAAATTATTCTAGTCATCTGTCTTCAGGTGTATCTTGGAGAACATGGTGATTTTCAGCAGGCTTAAATCAGGCATTGCATGTTCACATAGAGTTAAAAATGTGACCTTTGCTTTCATTTATTGTGAAAAAACAAAGACAATACTTTCTTCTGTAAATCTGTTTCTACAGATCTAAGGTAGAATTTTTGTTAATGAAATAAGAGTTCTGTCAGCATTTTTTTTTCTCCTGTAGAATAGAAATAATTGTTTTTAAACAGAATTCTAAAAATGTAGCAGCAGATTTTATGCTTGCCAAGAAAAATCTTGTTCCGCAAACTACCTGTTCTTTTAAAAGTTGTCATTTCGTTATGTTACATCCTTTGCTTTAAAATAATTTGCTTAGTTTTTTGCTTAGTTTAGATAAATCTGTACATCTCTGTGTTGAACTTTGTTAGCTCGTCAGTGCTCCCTTGTCAGGCTGAAAGATACTGATGTATTCCTTTAACACTTGCAGACATTGATGAATGCTCTTTTGAACGGACATGTGACCACACGTGCATCAATCATCCAGGCACCTTTGAGTGTACTTGTAACAAAGGGTATGCTCTCTATGGCTTTACACATTGTGGAGGTGAGTTGTAAAAAGATACTACATGCCATGCTGTTGCCACAGGTCTAATTAGTGTCTGTGCAAGACACAAGCCTATGTGTATGCCATAGGCGGACAGAATAAATTTTACTCTCTGCTGTGATAAGGAGGCATGTCAAAAGTAGAAACTAATCCTGCTCATTTCTGTCTTTGGTCAAATGTTTTTGCCTTCACACCCTGCATCCAGAAAGCATCTATGACTACTAGAACAAACTGATGCGTTTTGCACCTGGGTATGAAAGCCTTAATTTGATAGAATTTTCACATGCAGAAGTCTTATTGACTTCAATGAAAAGTCAGTGGACTTGCACTTAAAGAACAGGAAGCTCTGGGTGGCATAGAAAATTATGGTTTTGCAGGTGATGTAGTTTTAACTTTATGTGATGTATCACTGATTTACACTGGCCAGGATTAATACTCTTGAATCTGTATATCTTTCCTACAAAAAAAGTTCAAGGAAAGAGAGAAGGATGTTCACAGAACCTCAGTTTGTGTTGAGTGTGAATATTTCTGAGACAAGTTCCCAGGATTAACATGAGGAAATATGAATAACTGAACACTAAATGAAATTAAACCTGTTTTATAAAAGCTTAGGCAAGACCTTACTGACTCCATATGCTTATTTAATTCTGGGTAAGACTTACTTATGTCTGAGGCAGAATGAGCACACGTGAACTTGGAGATAACATTTCAGTGATTTCATTGTGCTCAATCTGTTCTAACCTCTGCCTCTAGAAAGTCTGCAAAGAAGATTACAGGTACAACATCACTGTGTTTTATCCTGATGAATAGGCAAACCTTTCTGATGGGAAGTATCACTGTTCATATGTTCGAATTTCTAAGAGAAGTCTATTCTCATTAATTCTTCTCCATTAATTTCCATTTCTTTTGGCCACCAATAAAGGAAATCACCAATAAGGGAAAGTTACTGTAATTTTGCTGTTGGCTACTAATTGTCCGCTTCATATCATACTCCTGTGCAAAAGATAGTAATCCTTGTACCATAGGAAGTTCTTAATTTACTGGCAATCCAGGCTGTGTCAAAGCTGGTAGGGATATTGAGTGTACCCCTTCTGACCTATATGAAGGAAGTTCAATAAGTACTGGAGGTGAAAGGTTGCCATTGCATTCCGCATCCTAACAAAAAGTCAATGAAACCCAAAGATTTGGGCTGATTCTGTGGTATCTTAAGCAGTAGCACCAATTTGAGTTGTTCTTATCTTTCTCCATTATTCCTCTGCTGCTCATTCCTACCCCTCTGTCTCAGTTCAGTTAGTAGCATGTTTTTCCCCTGAAATCAGGTAATTTCTGTAATGTTTCACAGTGTTTTCTACCAAATTGCTACCTATCTGGGGGGGGAACAGGTGGCGGGGGAGAGCAGTGAGAAGAACTTGTTTTGCCATTGAGAAAAGTGTACGTAGAAATGGGTACCCTCAGTTGCACAGACTTTCTGGGGCTTGCAAGAGATTTCTTGCTGGCAGCTTTCTAGGCTTATTGTATAATTGCCATAAAGCTACTGGAGACAAGGGAAGCAGTCATCAGAGTATATCTGAGAAGCAAAGACATAGAACTTTGCTTTTCCCTTTGTTGAAATTAATGAGATTCCTTTCGGGCCGTTTCTCCAGCCAATCAAGGTCCCTCTGAATAGTGGCACAACCATCTGGTGTATCAGCCACTCCTCCCAGTTTTGTATCATCTGTGAACTTACTGAGGCTGAACTCTTGTCCCATCATCCAGGTTTAATGAAGAGAATAAATAGTATTGGCCCCAGTATTGACCCCTGGGATGCACCACTGGTGAATGGTATATTCTACATCAGCATGCAAGTTTGCACCAAAGGCAGTATGTTGTGTCGCCATTAGTTTCTCCTCCTGTTGGCATTTATTGGGCAGGGAAAGGCCCCGAAATTGGATAATTGCCCAAAAGGGGGAATGGTGGTACAATGGTGTTATTTGCCCACATGGGGTCACATAGTGTCCACAGTAGTTGTATGTATCTGAGCACTTCGGGGCATTGATCAGTAGGAATCCTGTCCATTGTGTCTGTCTTTATTCCAAATTAGAAATATTAATTAACCAGGCACAGGGCACTGCAGACTTGATTTGATCTCCTTTTTTTTTCAGTTAATTTGTTGCCATATTGCTGAGGCTGAATATATTTTTAGTTATATAGTAATGGTTTAAGACCATGCTTAACATCTCGCCTCTGACATTTGATCAATTTTGACATTTATCAAAGGATTTCCATGAAGAAAAAGCTATTTCAATGTAGGTGTCCAGATAGCATTACTAAAATCTTTTCCAAGCCATACCAAGAAGTATTTGTGTATATTTTTACCTAGTGAAGTTAGAGGACAGATCTTGGACAAAAATAAGATTTTAAAAGTCTTTTCACCTTTCCTCTATAGATATTAATGAATGTAGCATCAACAATGGTGGTTGCCAACAGCTGTGTGTGAACACACTGGGAGACTATGAATGCCTGTGTCACTCTAACTACAAATTACACTGGAATAAAAAGGATTGTGTTGGTAAGGTGCCTAATAAATACTTTTCTACTCCTGATGTGTCTGATGGCCATGTGGTTATAGTCAAATCTGAAAATCTTGGTCTGTCCAGACAAGTGGTATGAGTCATCGTTCCCGGTATCCCACTTACTTTCAGCATGATGGTACTGATGTTGGAACTGGTAAAAACAAGTGAAAAAACAACCCAAAAACAGGAGATACTTTGAGGGATTTTGATGCTTTCTTTCCTGTGCTTTTATCCAGCTCATGCTTCTATTTCCTTTTGTTTCTCTGCATGAGAAGGTTTGCTGATGATAGCTTTAACTGAAAGGAAATTACTTACGTGTTGTGATCTTCCAGTGATTTTATTTTGCTTTGATTTTCTGTCCATACAGCATTTTTAACTGTGTGGGTGCTCTTGGGTACCAGCTTCAAAACCAGCTGCATGCCAATTTATTAGTAAGGTGTGTATGTAGATATTTTACTTGTGTGAGTATTTGTTTTATCCTATTTAGAGACAAAGGGCTCCTTGCCTGATAATATGTCACCCAGGGTATCGCTGTACTGCATTAAGAGTGGTGGGAGTGATAGATGCTTCTTAAGCTGTTCTTCAGATGTCCAGGTATTTTCTGGTAAGTCAAAACCAACAAAACCAGGCATGTGATCTGCAGAGTGTAAGAGCAGCAAACCTCTTAACTCTCATGGAAGCCACAAGAAGTAGACAATCAACAGGGACCTTTCCCCTTTCACTATAGATAATAAGGGGCTATAACCCTGCCAGTGTCCCAAGAAGGCCCTCCTTTCCTTGTCTTTTATAACCACTCTACCCTCAGATTCCCTTCTCATGACAACTGTCTTTGTGAAGCTAGGGAGGACAGGGCAGAATTCTCAGTGTTCCCTGGGCCATTCCTTAATTGGCCCTGAGAACTGCTGCTGAATGAGGCAAAGGCATTCCAGCCCTGCATGGGGTCTGAGATTTTGCCCATCCAGTCCCTCCACCCCACAGGACGCGGCATGCAGACTCGCCTGGTGCTTATGGGACAGTTGCTGCTTTTCTTCCTGAACCTTTTAAACTACTTACAGAGAGACAAGCTCTAATGTGAAGTCTTTTATGAACAACATTGTTGAAAAAGGGTGAAGATGGTGATGCCAAACAACAAATTAAAAATGTCTTTTATACTACAGGAGTCTTCAGTCTGTGCACAGTGCTTGTGTCTTTACTGTCTGTCTGTATGGTCTGTCTGTTAGGAACACAAGATGCCTACACCTTCACCTGTGGCAGGTCATCTCAGCTTAAGAAAAAGCAGCAAAATACAAATGCATCCAGCTGGCTGGGTAATCACTGGATTTATTGTTGCATGATTTGACTGATTTCTTCTAAGAGATAACAGTGAAATAAGGATGTTTCTGTTGAGTATTTTCCCTCTCCATTATACTCCCTCTGGTTTTTCTTCCTCATGATTGCAGTTCATGATTTCAGCAGGAAATTCCCCTTGCACTGCTTCATCAGCATCACTCAAACTGAGACTTATAAATAAGGAAAGAGAAAAAGATCAGTAGTGAAATAAACAGCTAGGCTAGGAGTGTCATGTCTCTTTTTAGACACCCAAACTGGACAGTGTTGGCAGCATACAATATGTTTAGGTTGAGCTGTTAATGAAATTTAGAAAGTATTTAAAGCTGAACAGATAAGATTTTTTTTTTTTCAATAAAATCTGTCCTACTTTGTTCAAGTTCCAGTTGTGAAACAGCTTCACAGCGGGAGAAAGCTGATGCCTCTTTAGGTTTTCTGTGATGACCACATTTTCACTTTATATCAGCGTATTTTTTGATATCATCATTATGATGTGACTTTGTGGTTACCTAAATTTTCTATTCCTTTTTGAAAATAACATCATTGTTTCTTTCTGAAGATACTTCAGCCATCAAGATAAGCGTAACCTTTAAATTAAATGAAGGAAAATGTAGTTTGAAAAAGACTGAGATGTTTCAAGAAGGTCTGGAACAGATGATACCAGGTATGAATATAAAAATGTGGGTGAGCAGGTTACAGTCATATATGTACTTTCCAAATATGAAGTACACCAGAAGCAAAGCATAGAGGACTGCAGGCTTTCTTTTCTTCACTGACCTCATGAATCACACTCTTGCCTAGGTGTGATTCTTGCAATAGTTATTTTACATCACGGGACGTCCCTATGACAACCTACAGTATTGCTAGGAAAGCCTTTCGCCTTTTTTATTTGTATTACTGCCAATAAATTCTCAATAAAATCAACAATTCTTTTCATTCTTTTGATTCTTCCTTTCCTTTCTCTCTCACCCTTCTTTCTGTTCTTTCTTTTCTCACCTGCCTAATGCCTCAGTGAAGAATATCCTGGCCATTTATGCTGACTATTGTCAAAGGTTATTCCTCTTTTCTCATCTTCCTTTTATACTTCAGCAGGCCCAGATGGACACAGTGAGGTCAGCTTTTCCATCTGTTCCAAGGCAGAAAAGTATGGCCTGGCAATTCACAAAGTCAGCAGAAAATGGGGAGGAGTACATTTGAAAAAAAAAAAAAAAAAAGCTAGGGGAAGAAGTCATGAAATAATAAGATGAATCAACATGTCAGTTTGTTTGTCCTTACAAGAGTAATAGTGAGAGACTACAGTAGATGCTTCATGAAGAATTATATATTCCAGAGCCAAAGCTTATTCTGAGTGTTTAACTAAATTTATTTTTTTGTAGAAACCTTGAAAGTGATCTCCAAAAGGCACGACTTAATTTAAACACCATTATAAGCTAGAATGTTTTTCACACGCTTCATATGAGTGCAGGATTTTTTCCCTTGAGTAGCCTGCCTGATGCGGGCAGTGTCATGGTTTTAGGATGTTCTGGATAGCACAAAGGCAATTCATTAGAACCTACTAGCAAAACCCAAGGGAAGCAGGCTGAGCACTGCAGCCAGGCTCTCATCCTAGTGGCAAATGATGCCTTGGACCCACTGCAGTGCCAGAGTCTCAGCCCGACAGTAGATCTGTAAGTGCACTGGAGTAATGATTTCATGTGAGGGTGTACCAGCTGAGAAACTGGCTAAATTGTTTACTGTCATGTGAAGTTAATCATTTGCTCCTCTTAACTCTTCATGACAATAATGTATGCTGAGCACTAGTGAATGTTCAATAATGTAGCTGGCCAAGCTTTTGCTTCCTTTGATTTTCTTCATACAGAGAGACATAATTCAGTAATGGAGAGTTTCCACTATGTAAACCTAACATGCAGCTCTGGCAAGAAAGTTCATGGAGCCCTCAGTAGACTGACAGCGACTAGAGAAATTTTTATCACTGCGGACTTTGAGCTTGAAACAAGCCAAAAGGAGGTGACAGGTTGGTTGGAAAATAACCCAAGGTGTGGTTTGAAGCTTCTTGGCATTTGCTTCTTAATTTCTGTATTTTTCACTTCTATCTGTGTGCAAAATGATAACAAAAAGTATCTCCTGTTTTGAAAATGAATTTTACTGCTTCAAAAGAGTGAGGGGTAGGGATAACTTCAAAGATCAAAGAGCTGCCCATTGATTAAAGTCTTGTGGTCTGATGAATTTTCTTCTAGCCTGGTGGTGTTGTCCTTAAGCATTTCAGATTTGTTCACAGAGTGGCTTTCTCAGTTATTTGCATAGTTGGTCTTTTGAATTGGGATTTTTGTGCACAGTCACTTACAGCAGCTTTCACCCTTGATACTTTTCAGACACATGTGATGTGCGCTGTGCTCGGAAAAAGACTGAAAAGAGATTCCGTAAAACCATTCGGACCCTACGGAAGACAGTCAGCAGGGACCAGTTCCGCATTCGCGTCTCTGGCATGGACCATGAAGTGGCCAGAAAGTCTCTCAAGCTGTCGGAGCCACAGCAGTCTTGTGGTGTAGGACAGATGCATGTGGGTAACAGATGTGGTAAGTGAAAGTAAACTAGGAGCAAACCATCACATGCTGTTGGTTTTGCTGTGGTCTGATGAGGCTGGTGGGATCATAGGGTGCTTATCAGGGACAGAGGAGGGCTGTGTAGGAAGAAGTAGGGGTTACTGTTTGTGCTACTGAAATGTGCCCCTCAGTGTATTTGTTGCTGGCAATTGCTGTGTTACAGAGTACAGTAAGGCCCCAGTGTACTACACTTTTTTATAATTGATGCACAGCCTACAGTAAGCTCAAAGGTAGAAAACGTGGGAATAACATCAGGCACCAGTGGCCTTGACATCATCAGTATTATTTTTATAACTAGATTTAATATCCAGTGTAACACTGTGTTTCTGAACTTGAGAACTCTCCCTTGTTCCAAAGAAAAGGCTGGGCAGAATTTGAAGCAGTCACATTTTCTTTGCTGATAAAGCTCTGAGTCCCAGAGAATCTTCATCACAGTTATAAATTCATAGAAAATAGGGGTTTTATAGGTCAGTACTGAAAAAAATCTTAATTATCATGGCACTGGAGGGCACCACAATAGTGTAGCCCATAATAAATGCTTCCAAAGCACAAAAGTTAAGGAGAGGGGTCAGATGTTATCTTAACAGGGGCCTAACAACCATGACAGCTAATTCAGGCTGCATAAGGTAGGCGGCATGTAGGTGGTTTTGTGAATCAGCAGGCCTTTAAAATGCATGTCAAATTGAATTAGTACATCTTCCAGCAGCAACCCATTTGGCCTAAGAATAGGTTTTCCAATCTGAAAAACTTGGATTCACAGAATAGAAAAATGAATCGGTGTTGTTTAAAACATCTGTGCAAGCAAGCAGACTAGGGAATTACTCAGGAATTCTGTCAGAAAAAAAGCTGCAAGTTTTCTTTTTTTTTTTTGCAATGAGTCTGAAAAACTTGGGAAAGCTCACCAAGATGAGTTTAGATGGATGTTTTCAAGCTGTTGTGTTGGATGCTGGAGGATGGCTTGAACAAACTCTGTCTCAGTCTATGGTACAGAGCACAGTATGGCTTTCAAGCCATTTGTGATTTCATCTGGAAAAATAGCAAAAAATACTGCAGGTAGAGAAAGCAACATGAGTTACAGTTAGCAACTGGAACAGCAAAGAAACAAATTTATATTTTTTCAGGTAACTGCAGAACCAGTTTTAATTTCTCAGTACAAATGACCTTCTTATGTGGCATTTCTGTGCTAGTTCAGGGGTAAAAGGGACTTTTGGAGAATGCCTGGTAAACTCTTTGGTAAGGTGAGCACAGATAGCCTTTCTATGGTTAAAACAGACACTGATCATATGAAGACAAGTGTTTTGAAGGACAACTTTTAAAAACCCTCTTCCGTCACTGAATTGGTACCACAGTTTGCTCTGTACATCTTAACAGGTACTGCTGTGAGCAGTGGAACTAGCAAGATCCGATTCCCTGTGGGTCTCATGCCTTTTGGTTTGATTTGCTCGTGCCTAAAAAGATGCAGTCACCAAATGGATCTTCATTTCTTCAGCTGTATTCAGACCATATTCTTGTCTACGCAAGGATATGATCTTTTTTGCTGTGATCTAATAGGAGATGGAACTTGTACTACAGCTTTTGACTCGCATGGATGCTAAGAAGGTCTCTCACCTCCACTTGCACATTGCTCACTTCTTTACATTGAACATACAAAAGCTTGGTACCTTTGAAACCTCTTTGCACCCTTTGTTAGATTGCTGGCAGTTGGACAGAAAGTTCACTAGTTGTCGAGGGGACATAAAAGTACACACAGAGGCGGTGGTGTTACATACGCCTCATTTCCTTAGAAAAAGCTGATTGTCCTAGTGTGCATGGTAAAGGCAGCACAAGGTGGGTGCTGCTGCTGCTTTGACTGCCGGTCAGAAGGAGCTAAGAAATAGACTGGTCAGAAGAGAATGGAGTGGGGACAGTGTAGAAGAAGATGAAGAAGCTATCTCGGGGATGTGTGTGGGAGAGTCAGGGGGGTTTGTTTTGTTTTGATCTGATTGTTTTGCAGAGTTGCTGAGAACTTCTGGACAGGACTGGGGACATGCTTATCTGGACATGCTAATGATTCTGGGCAGAAAGAGATACCAGGTCAGCAGACTGATTCAGTGCAGGTGGTGGATGTGGTCTCTAGACAGGCAAGAGAACTTTGGCAAAGGGATTTTGCTCAGTCTGATCAGAGGAGTAGGAAGCAGTGAGGGAACTAAGTAAGTCTAGGGAAAGTCTTCTGTGATGCAGACAGTAAGTCAAGTGCAGGTTTTAGTTAATTGTTTTCAACTACTTTTTTTTTTTTTTTTAAAACAGAATACTTGCAGTATGTCCAGATTAGATACTGATTCAGACAGTCTTGTACTGGTCCTCTTCCTGTGGTAGGCTTCTCCTGGCGCAGTACTGTCTCAAACATTAGTGATATCTCAGCAGCATAAGAGGGAAAGTCCAGCTTCTTCTCTGACAGCTCTTGTCTTGAAGAACTGACCTGCAGCAGCAGCAGTAAACTAAACTTCATTTGGTTTCACACTTCTGGTGACATAATTTTGTAAAAACCTGACAAGAAGAAATGAATTATCAAATGGGAGGAGGGGTGCTATTTTTTCTGCTAACATGCTTGCTCTGGCAATCATAGATTTAAGACATAAATCCTTAGAATATATAACCATCTCAAGTGTCCTGAATATGTGAACTGCTACAACACAATAACTTAAAGGGTGCTGCTTCAGAATCAGTTTGCTTCAGTTGTTGGTGATTTTCCTTGTAAAGTCAAGGCATAATTCTCAAGAAGATGGTGAATTGGTAGATCATGACCTCCTTTATGAAGTTCACCTTCTCAGCCACTGAGATACTACAGCATTTGTCTATAGGAGCAAATGCTCAAAGGCTAACCTGTTGAAAAGAGGGGAAGAGCCTTTAAATGTCTTTGTTAATCCTGGTTCCCTGTGGGCCTCTCTTCCCTCTCCTCCCCTTTTCTTCATGTTTTTGCATCAGAAAAGCTTTCAGTTTCTTTTTTTTTTTTTATCTTCTTTAAAACAGCTGCATGAGACTCAAGATCTGTTTTTTAGTGGGTATTGAAGACAAAACAATGGCTGCAGAAATGAAGTCTACTAGAGGCAATGGATTCTTTTGTTCATTTGGAGAAAAACAATCAGGTTTCTGAAAAAAGAGCAAGGCCAGCCAGTGGAATTCTGATTTAATGTCATTATTTGCAAATCTCCAGATCTTGTTTCAGCTGGGTATTTCCCATGTGTCAGGTGGGACCATGCAGTTTCTAGTTTTGTGAAATGTTTGTTTCATTTAAACCAATTATAGGAAAAGTTTGAACTCTTAGAGGTGTGCCCCCCCCCCCCCCTTTATTTTTTTGTGTGGTTTTGGTGGTTTGTTTTTCTTTAAAAAGGGCTCATTTGTATCACCCTAATTTCATGCATAGTCCTATGGATTTCCATGGGATGATTTCTGTGTTGACATAATGTCCCTATAATTAATGTGACTATGACTGAACCTAACACTAAGTCTGTTTTGTTATGCTAAACTGGCTCCTAGTGAGTGCTCTGAGCTTCTGAACAGGCTTTTCTCATTACACCTGCTCTGTGCTTCAGTGGGGTTAGATGGGTGACCTCTGGAATATTTTTAGGTGGAAGACGGGGAGGAACTGGGAGCTGTTTACAGGGAATCGATTGGTTCAGATTGAATGGAAAAGTTTTGCTTTGGCCCAGGCTGATTTTACACACTTCCTGCCTTTTACTGTCTCAGACCTGTATTCCTTCTGTGGATGCTGTCACAAGCATAGCCTACCATTCTGCTCACCTGCCATATTTGACCTGCATCACAAATGACCTGGGGCAGGCAGTGCAAGTGGAAGACAGGAGGGAAAGAAACGGGGCCTGAAGCAGTTGCAGTGTAGCTCCAGTGAAGCGTAATGGACCTCAGGTTACTGCTGAGCAAAGTTGAAACAAAACGTCAGCCTTCTTTCAGTGCTCAGAAACTGTCGAACTGCAGAAGTCCTGACAGTTGATTTGCCCTAATGGTTGTATAAGCATAGTCTTGATATCACCTTGAGCTTTATCAAGTAATCTAGCTGCTGACCACCTAATTTGACTTTGTACCCACAAACACTAAATGTTAGAGACCTGAGATTTTTTTCTTATTGCTAGTTGGCTGAACTGTGGGAACATACTATGATGGGGAATGAGAAAGTTGTGTTTTATGCCGTAATAAAACTTAACAGGATGAGGAAGGACAGCTAACTTGTAACTCTTGCCACAGTCCTCAGAATCCTGGAAACCAGAAATCAGCTGGGGCTCACAGTGTGTCTCAATATAGATGTAAGGCACAGAAAGAGACTGTCTGGTGCCCCATCTTTCTCTTGCTCTCAGAATTCAGTCACGCAATGCATCTAAGAATGTCCTGTATTGAGGATCTCATTGATGTCTGTGGAGATCTAAGTTTACTTTCTCAATGAAATTTAAAAAAATTAGTAATTTCGCTAAATAATCTTAGAAGATTCAGATTAACTCAGTTTTGTTCCACAGAGAGCTCTACCATTTTACAACATGCAATTTCAAGGAAAGTAAGGTGCAGATGATAAAGTTGATGAAAGAGATCTGATGGGATAAGTTCTGAAATGTAACATTTCTACATGAGTGGTGGGTTTGGTTCCTGCCTGGGACAGGATTCCTTTGAGCTCTGTTAGCCAACCTACTGTTATGCTGGAGTCTGAGCACGTTCAGGAAGTAAAGTAGCATTCTGTTCAGAACAAAACCAAAACACACACACACACACTGGAAAAAATAAAAGCCAAACCCAAACCACTCCAAACTTCACATGTGATTAAAAGGAAGGGAAAAAAAAACAGGTTAAGATGAGAGAGCAGACAGTAAATAGTCTGCAGTAAGGCCACCCAGAGCTCTGATTTCTCATAGAGCCATAGAGGTTTTTGAAAGAAGATTTGCACTGGTCTTTCCATTGCTTCTGGGTTTCTGAAGTCAGTAGCCACTTCTGAAAGTCACCTTTACTAACCTTGATTGTCTTTCCCTGTTATGGAATGGTAAATAGTGCTCTTTCCTTACCTTATTGGAAATGCTGTAATGAAAGCCTTAGTTCATTCATGTTTGTTGAGTTACACAAAGAGTAGAGAGATGAGTGTTCTGTAGGAATGTTTATAAATGAAGAAAGGCTTGAAAAGTATGGGAGCAAATGAATGTGTGTCCTTATGAAAGCTGAAGTCATGTGTGGTGGAAAAAGTTAGAACCTAGAGCTAAGACTTCCTCATTAGCTTTCATTGATAAGCTATGGAGCATTGCTTAACCCGGTGTATTTTATTTTTAAGCTAAGGAGGAACACTCACTATTCTACTCAGTGTATCAGCCATAAACAAAGCTTTTCATCATTGATCATGACCGGTAGTTAATGCCCTGCTTGTTGTTAGTCGTATATCCTGAAATGAAGCCAAGGCCAATTTAACTTCCTAACAAAACAGCTATTCACTGCGTGATTTATTGGAGCTATAAACTAAAACTAACAGTTTATTATTGTAACAGGTCTTTAAAAGGACAGAGTTTTTCAGCACAGCTGAACAACTGCAACAGTGTTTTGTGCCTTTCTAGAGTAGGATAATTATTAAAAACTGGCACAGTTCTTTTGTAAAAAGTTTGAAAAGCAGCATTTTTCAGTTATCCGTAAATATTGCTGGAGTTGTTAGATAATATTGAGGTGTGTGTTTAAGTAAAATTAGTTGGATTGACTTAGTGCTACCTAGGCACTATTCAGTGCACAGATAATCCTTATCGAAGAACCGGTATCAGAGGAATAGGAAGAATATTTGTGCTTTAAAAGTCTGAAGCACTCATACTGTTTAGTGAATTTGCATGATTACTTTTTTTGCGCTTGAGGTTTTCACATAATTCAGTAACACCAAGAGTTTTGAAGTATGAATGTTCAATAATATTAGGAGTAGAATACTTATAGGAATCTGGAAGTACATTTTTGGCACCTTAGGTTCCATATTAATTATCTCATAAAGAGTTTTATTAGCTAGAAAGAAGAAATAATCACTCTGTAACTACTCTGTATAGCTGTATTGAGAATACTGAACAGGCCTAGTGTCCAGCATAGCCTAGAAACAAAGCAGAAAATCCATTCTAGCTCACAGAAGAGCTCACTACACCAGAGCATATCAGTGTCTGTTTCAGTTTTACAGGGTACATTGAATGTGTTGTGTTCTATCTGTTGCTAGCATTCAATTCTGAAATCCTGGTTCCAGCTCCCAGGTAAAGAGGACAGCAGTTTCACCTTTGAGTTTCAGGTCATGTGAAGGCTCACTAATGTACTTTCATCTGTAATGTACAGGTTAAAGCAAGTGTGTTCTTCCTCATCTAGATCAGTGCTCACCAGGTGAATATTCTCCTGACGGCTTCAAACCCTGTCTGCCATGTCCCCTTGGAACATATCAGCCTGAAGCTGGAAGAGTATCCTGCTTTCCTTGTGGAGGAGGTCTAACAACAAGACACAGCAGTGCATCCTTTTTTCAGGACTGTGAGACCAAAGGTGAGGTCAAGATTTATTTGGTGAATAGTGTTGCTCCAAGGGAAAGGTAACTGCTGCTGCTACAAGTGGGGCATTCAAAGGAAGGGTCATCCTCTTTTCAAGGATCTCTCCTTCCAGGGGTCTCATAGTTGGCTGGCCTGGCTGCAGGGAAAATCAATAAAGCCTCAATTACTTTTATAACTGCTTTTCATACAAGACTTGAAAAGGGGTTGAGAAGTACATGGAAATTGATCAGGGAAGTCATTGATCTATGAAGAGTTGTATAAAGGAGCAGCAGGGAGAAAAAAGTCTCCAAGAAAATCAAGACCAGTATGTTGTATTGACATTTGGGGTTTGAGCACAGCAGCCATGTGAAAATGTGAAGGAGGGAATTGCAGTTCTAGAGGATAAGTAAGAAAATAGTTTCTTCATGTTCATAATGAGAAACTGGCTTGGATGCCTTGGGATATACCTAAAAAGCTAGCATTCAGGTTAACCATGCAGTACCTCAGACAGCCCTCTGAATTTGATCACAGTGAGCTAACATGCAGTCAGCTCCCAAGGTTTTCCTCACAGGAGTGAAAATCAGGTAGGGACCCTATCTTTAAATATGAAAGAATTTTGTTAGCTTCTTAGTTACCTAAAATGTAAAAAGCTGAAAGACAGCTATGAAGATGTCCTTGAAAATGCTGTTAAAAATACGTGTCTATGGAGAGAGATGATACGTTGATCAGTATAACTGTTTACTCAGTGTCTCAAAGCATGGGTAAAACCCCATGCCTTACATTAAAATCGCCTGAATAAGAAGTGTTAATAGAAAATCTACTGCTGTAGTTTAGAAATAAGGGATAGAAATATGTTCCTGATGCAAACATTTGGTAGTGGTTTGGATTAAGAGATCTCTCTAGTGTCAGTCAAGATATGTTTACTATTGAGAATTGCAACATAATAGAAGAATTTTGAAGTATGGTTGAAGAATTAATATTACTGTTAACAATGTGATAGCTAATAGGTTTCTTCAGTGAAGAATTACTGAACCCACAAATGCTATTGTTTCATACTTAATTTTGTAAAGTTGAAGCACTAAAAAAACATGTTAAAAACCTTGGATCGAGATAAGAGGAACTAATTTCGGTTTTATATAACATAAATAAAAACAGGTCTATAAATGAGGTTCAGTTTTCAAAACAGAGTGGAGATTAAAGGAATTTATTTGTATTAACTGGAATGAAGAGCTCAGGGATTTGCATGTGGAAGAGGCCACATGAGACATGGAATCACAGATGCAAGAACTATTTGGAACTTATATCTGAAGCATTTGGATTGGGGGTGGAGCATGTAGGGAAGGACTCCAGGCTAAGCTAGTTTACAAAGCTCAGTAAGACTAGGGTTATGTGGGAGTAAGCAGAGCTTAAAAGGAATAGAAAAAAGGGACTTTGCAATGCAGAAAACTACATTTGAAAGGCAAGTTAGTAAATTATTTTGATGTTTAACCTGACAGAGGTAAACTTGCCAAATGAGGTACAGGAATAGGAAAATATTTTAATTTATTTTAGTCCCACAAAGAAAAGGGCAAGGAAAAAGAAGCAAGGTGGTGATGGAGTTAAGAGCAAAAATATAGCTGCTTTCTGTAAGGTTCCAGTACAGATGATGATGGGCAGAGATTCAGATGCATAATAGCTAAGCAAAATCAAATGAAAGGAAGCATATTAGAGATGTAAGCAAAAGTGTTTGGGGTCTCAGATTGCATTGAGAGAAAGAAAACTTCCTGACTGTATGCAGAGAAGTAGAAAAAAAAATTGCAGGTCAGCTGGAAAAGATTTTTCTTCTATGTCTGTTCATCGCATGTCTGAAACTTCCATAAAACCTGTAATGATTATGAAAGAGTTTGTATGTCAGAATGGGGTCTCTCCTTGGTGATGCAGGAGGTACTCTCAGCTAGTCCCGTGAGGGCTGTAGCTTATATGTTTAGCTAACATGATGATTCGCATGACATGATGGAATAAAGTAGCAACATATCTGGTGGAGGTGGCTGTACCCTGACTCACAGCCTGTTGTTGCAAGGCAGTGTGTGATCATGAGAGAAGAAGGCAATATATCAGTTTAGTCACTAACATTGATGCAATATGCCACTTGCAGAAGGCCAGAATCTTTCACCTCTGCTTGTGGTGAGCTTATCACCAGGGTATACTAGGATGAAGCAGCAATGCACATGCTGCTTGCCATAAGCAGGTAAGAAAGAAAGGTTTAGTTAGTATTTCCACATACATTGCCACATAATTCCAAGTTAAATGTCAGTGACAAGACCATTTGGTAGCACACTGTGCTATTTGGTGTCCTGCTTATAACATCATGGTGGTGCATGATTTTCTTACTGCTTTCACACAGAACTGCTCTACAGTGTTGCATTTGGGACTTTCGAACTTGCGCAAAGTGACCTGACAAACTAAAATCTGTTCAATTGCTCTACTTTATAACCCTCATATTTTATAAACATGGCATTTCAGTTACTGAAATTGTACTAGGTCCTTTAAAAATGCACAAAATCTCCTGTGCTGCTGCCAATTTTTTAACCATGCTGCATATTTAATTACTATCCAGTTCAGTGTTCACCAGGACATTTCTATAATACCACAACTCATCGGTGTATTCGCTGCACAGTTGGAACATACCAGCCTGAGTTTGGACAAAATTACTGCATTTCATGCCCTGGAAACACCACTACTGATTTTGATGGGTCAACAAATATAACACAGTGTAAAAGTAAGTATAGCAAGATGGTTTTGATGATCTCTTAAAATAAAAATATTGGGCCATTAATATTCAGAATGGCCCTAAGGTCAAAATTCAGCTTTGCTTCAGGGAGCTTGGAGAGAAGGCAGTGGTGTTACTCCTCTTTTGCTGCCTGCCTGCATGTCATCCCACATGGCTTACTGAGGTCCATGAGAGACCATTTCTGCAGACTGGTTCCATCATTCTTGTTAAGGTAAGTGATGATTGTGTCTTGCCAGTTGGTGCTGGGCCAATCTGTATCTTACTATTAAATCTTTTACCCCATGATATAGCAGACAGAGTTTGTCTCCTTGGCACTGTTATTTCTTTCTCTTCTATTAAAAGGAATGGAAGGTGGCTCAAAAAAATGTAATAGCTCTAGTTTTCTTCTGAATAACAACCTTTGAAAGAGGCAATTACAAAACCACTGTTACAGATTATGGTAACTGTAGTGCAGGTAGCTGATGGTAAATTAAAAAAGGAAAGCAGAGGCCAGAGAAATGATTCCTCAGAAGAACCTCTGGAGCCACTTACATACACACAGATGCATATCACACTTAAAGCATCTGCTCCCTGGGCATGTCACACCCGCACATCACTGTTACAGTGCTGTAGTGTCCTTGTGGCCATGGACTGCTAGGAAGCACAGGCAAAACATCCTGCACTGGGGTTCACCCTCTCTTACTGCCAGCAGTGCTGATCTGTGCAGAGAAAGGGCCATCTATGCTCCCTGTTCTATGCTGCTGCAAGCATGGTGCCTCAACAGAGCGCCTCAGACTCCAGTTAGACTTCAGCTGATACTTCTATAAAGATGTTCTGTCTGATATGAGCAAGTGGAGTATCCTTGCTGTACCATTTCTTTGTCCTCTTACAAGTGCCTTGCCCCTTGGCTGTGACTTGGTTGATAGCACCTACTGTGTTAACAGTGACTGGTCTGTATTTTATGTCTCAGTGATGATTAAAACACAAAGTTAGATGCAGGCAGCAGCATGATATGAAGCTGGCAAAGGGAACTGTACCTGCATCAGATGCAGACAGAAAAGTTTTTGTGTCTGTCACCCATGTCCTGTTTTCTGACAGTGATTGTAGAGAGAGCTGTAGGATGACCTCGCTTTGCCTAGTCTTGCATACTGTATTGCTTTTTCAGATAGGCAGTGTGGAGGTGAACTGGGAGATTACACTGGATATATTGAATCACCAAACTACCCTGGGGACTATCCTGCAAACACTGAGTGCACCTGGAACATTAACCCACCACCAAAACGCCGTATTCTGATTGTGGTTCCAGAAATATTTCTACCAATAGAAGATGAGTGTGGAGACTACCTGGTGATGCGAAAAAGCTGTAAGTCTGAAATATCTACTGAGGCATATGATATCTATCTTGGTGTGCACCACAGGTTTCTCATATGCATTGCTATTTATATAAATGAAATGTAGCCTGGCTGGCCTCTACTTATGAGTAGAAATTTCTTTAAATGGCAAATTGAGAAATCCTATTTGGTAATATTGCTCCATAGGTTCAGGTAAAACTAGGGTGCAAGGCCATAATGCGTCAGTGAACTCTGAGAGAAATACTGTTAGGAAGGGGTGGATGGTTCAAGCTATCTAGATATGAATTATGCTAAGCAATTCTAGCCTGGGTTAGGAAAGAGGAGGTGCTTGCTAGTCCCTACAGGTGGCTGGTGTGTGAATAAACAGCTTCAGTTTCTGTTATAGGCAGATCCCTTAAACAGTAAATTGTGGGCTTTTTTGTTGTTGTTGTTTTTGTTTGTTTGTTTGTTTTTGGTTTTGTTTTTTAGGAAAAGGGAGAATATTCCTTAACCTTGACCATCCACTAATAGCCTGCCACATTTCAAGTTTTCATAACACCAGAAAGCATTTGTTATGATAGCTTAACCTATTTTCTAATTGTGCATTAGTATGAAGCATTATCGGGTAACTGCCTATTGTGTGTTTTCTTTGAAAGCTTCTTCCAACTCTGTAACCACGTATGAAACCTGTCAAACCTATGAGCGCCCTATAGCTTTCACTTCTAGGTCTAAGAAGTTGTGGATCCAGTTCAAGTCAAATGAAGGAAACAGTGCCAAAGGATTCCAAGTTCCTTACGTAACATATGACGGTAAGCGGATGTGAGCAGCTAAGCCAAGGTGGACTAGTGCAGCTGCAGCAGTGCAGAACTCCTTGATGGGCTCCTTGACCTTGCTAAGCAGCAGGGTTACCCAGTGCTCTCAGCAGTGTTGCTATGAGACTACTTCCAGTAGCTGTTTTTATTTAAGGCTGGTTTAAGGAATTCTGCTTTGCACTGCAGTCTGAAATGCCACTGTTTTTCTAGTCTTCCACAGACCTAAACAAAGAGCTGGTATTCTGGGCTCTGACCTGCATTTCTGTGCCTTCCCAGTTCTGGATTGCAGTGCACCCCCAGTTAGGAACTGGGCAAAGTCCAAGTGCCTCAGATTTATCATGTTGTTGCTACCATCTGTATTCTAGTACCAGATACTAAAATGTCTGTATTGAAAAGAAACCTGAGGGGCAAAAGTTTCACCCTATCCCTGTCAGAATCACCAGGAGTGAAACTGGAGCTGAGGCTTTGCACTTCAGCATAAGCAATGTGAAAATGATAATGCGTGTTTCTGTTCACACTGGATTGATTGTGAAGGACTCATCCTTGCAGACTCATGGTCTACAGGGTTTCATCAACAATGGTTAATTAATTTTTTAGGGGAAACCTCTCATTTTGAAGCATTTCAAGTTTGATTGACCAGGGGGTTGCCTTTGAAGAAAGTTTCCTCTTACCATTTGGGTTTGTTTTTTTTTCCCTTCCTAATATAAAAGAAAAAAAGCCAATACCAGGTTGTGTGTACTTACAGATAAGTTTCTGCAATGCAGTTGGTTTGAAGCAGGCTACTTGGTTACAATGTGCACTACAGTCCTAAATGCATTATGTTTTCTTTTGCTTTTGACAGATTGATGCTGAGCAGCTCAGCAGAGTACACTGTTTTCATAGTAAACGGTATTTGTAGTTTATTTACAGAAGAACATTTGGAATATTTTCTAACTACTAATGTGAGGGTCAAGTAGCACTGGTTCTTTTGGAGGTAGGGCTTACATGTGTAACCAAAGTGAACCTGCAAATTTCTCTCTTGTGTACATTCCCCATAGAGGATTACCAAGAACTAATAGAAGACATTGTTCGGGATGGCAGACTTTATGCATCTGAAAATCATCAAGAAATACTTAAGGTATATTGCTTCTACTAAATATGCTGGTTTTGATTGAAAATGACACTTTTATGCCAGTGAATTTGCTTCCTGCTCTGCATCAGATCTGTTTCTTGGTGCCCTAGACACATGCCACTTCAAGGAAGTGGGGTGAATCAGTGGGGTGACCCTTTGCTTGGGAAAATAAAGGTGGATCTGACTACAAGGAAAATTTAAGGTGAAGATACCCCTCGAGCGTCACATATGCTGTGCTGAAGGAATGAGTGGAACAAACTGAGGGGCATGGGATTTAATCTCTTGGAGAAACACTTGGTACTGCTCCTTGTAGCCTGTAAATTAATAAAGGCTTTTCCTCCCTGGACAAAAAAAAAATCTCTTTATGGATTTCCTTTCTTTGACACTTGAGGAGGTGACAGTTGTATAGGCAAGTTCACAAGTAAACCTTTCTTGTGCTGGATATCAGATCCAGTGTTTGTTTGTGCTTGTTTGTTTGGTTGCGGTTTTGTTATTTTTTGTTTGTTTATTTTCTTGTTTGCTTGCTGCTGTTGGAAGTATGAGGATGGAAGTAACCCTGGTGCTGGCAATAATAAATGTGAAACTCCAGTGACTTTGCTGTGGCTTGAATGTCGGCCTTGCTCCAGTAGTTTCTGAGCCTCAGAAACATTAGTACTCGAAAAATAAAATGCCCATAATATTTTATGAATTGATCAGTAATTAAGATTTGGTAATACCGACCCTAACTCTGCTGTGGAATTACTGTAAAATCTGCTTTCCTTTTTCTAGGACAAGAAACTGATAAAAGCACTGTTTGACGTGTTGGCACATCCACAGAACTACTTCAAGTACACAGCCCAAGAGTCTAGAGAGATGTTCCCAAGATCCTTCATTCGGCTGCTGCGCTCAAAAGTTTCCAGATTTTTGAGGCCTTACAAATAGTTGGCACTGTACTTATAAAACTAACCAGCCCTGGGCATGCACAGAAGGGTTGTGGTAGGTGGGGCTGCTTTCTGTGTTTTACGCACTGGCAGAGAAACTCCAGGGGAGCTTGCCAGCTCCGTTCTTGGCAGAGTTTGGCTTTCTCAGCTAATATAAATATTTTGTTGAACAGAATTTTGATTCCTTTCCAGATAATACCTTTTGGGTACCAAGGATGCTTCATGGGTCTCTGAATTAGAGACTGTCCATCATTTCTCTAACTAAATGGTGCCAAGCAGAAGTTTGTAGAGCTCTGTCCTATTGCTTCATCAGCAACTCTAAAAGCTAATGTGGACAGACAGTCTAAGTAGTGTGGTTTGGGATGAACTCCTGGGCTGCCATTAATGCATGTTACCTCAACAAAGTTGTGTTCATGTTTGGTCTTGCTGAAAGTGAGAACAAGATCGATGTCTCTCTTAATTTTTGCTACAAAGGAAATTCAGAGCTAAGATTGGAATAGATTTATAGTCCAAACCAATGAGACCAAGAATTGCAGGTGGTGTAATTTTTCTTTGAACTATATATTGTATGAGGCAAATGGAGTAATAAGCAAAGGGTTGAATATTAGCTTGAATGCTCTGGGTCTGGATAAAACTGTATTCATGCTGATGGTCTATTGGTTTAAACAGAGTGATACCAGAATAAAACCAGGGAACCAGAGTAATGGAAAACAGACCCTGACCTGCTGGACACTTCCATTTTGGGCTGGCTGCAGATGTTACAGCAGAACAGAGTCTTTGCTAAATCCCAATGCTCTCCTTGTGCATAGGGGACAACAAGAGGCATTGGCTTTTCCAAGTAGTATAAAAATTTGCCCTCTGAGCACATGCAGGTGAACACACAAGCGCCATTTTAGATGCAGGCTTTGAATCGGTTATGCTTTTGTACATCACTGTTTAAACTTGTATAAGGTTCTTATATAAGTCTCAATCCTTATATTCCTTATCTTGTCTGAGCACCTTGCAATGACCTTGTGGAGCAGAGAAGGATTGCTTTCCTTGTCTTGCTGGGGAGAAGTAGCTGTACAAAGGTATTCCTCAGCCAGACTGTGGCCTCAAAGTGATCTATGGCAAAATGCTGTTCAAAATTCCCAAGCTCTGTGTCCTTTTCCTCAGGTTGTGTCTTAGGTGACAGAAGACTATACCGAAAGGTCCCGTAGAGAGAGCTACGTTAATCAAAATATTGTCTCAGTGCTTTTCTGTCCACACTTCCATTACATCACTGTTCTCTGGCCATGCAAACCATTTCTTTGGTGTAATGTACCTTGTGGGCCTTCTATCTTGAAGGCAGATGGCTGCAATCCTGCTTATTTGGAAATGGACTTATGACTTCTGCCTTTTAGTCACTGGCACTGCCAGTTGGTACCAAACTTCCTTTCTGTGCCCCCTTTAGGAAAGGTACTGAAATTTCACAGTGTAGCCACGGCCAATGCTTCCTTTCAAATCTCCCTGGGTTTCATTGCATTAGTATGTGGTGTTTAACTGTTTTATGTGAATAATACTCTGCCCACATTGCAACAGATGAAATCCTCATCAAGAGCCAGGGTCTGAATCTCTTCCCTATAATGTTTGGAGCAAACAAATACTACCAAATGCAGCCTTGCTGAACTATTGTGTCATGGTAGCCCTATTCTATGGCATGTGTGGCAGTGCAACCTCTGACGTGGTAAGGACACGTCTTAATCATGCTGTGATGGGAAGGGACAGTGGCCACAGGCTACAGCTGGGGAGCATAGCTCCTTGGAGTGGGGTTCATGTGATGCTGTGTTTCTTTTGCTACTGCCCTGAAAGAATTGCCATGCTGTGGGTGGAGAAGGGAAGTGTCTTGTGTTTCTGCCAGAAGGATGAGCTGTGTCTTAACTGGCTGCTCTGGGGCTCCTGCTCCAGCTCAAGAGCTGCTTGTGGGTTTGTGTGACACAGTGGTGAGCACCCATTCCAGGGATAGGGCTGCCAAGCCTGTAGTAGAGGGGGGCAAATGGCTTGGGCAGAAGAAGGGAGGAAAGGGGTGAACTAGTAGAACAGAAGGGAAGGAGCCCAAGTCCTTGTGTGTTCCTGCCTGGTGTGGTTCATCCTGGACAAGGTCCCTGCTGCCATCATGGAGAGGGAGGACAGGGGTTATCTAAAAGAAGGTAGGGGGCAGTGTGATTGGTGAGAGGAATGGCTAAGGGATGCTGAAAGAAGAGGAATGGTGTTGAGAAAAGCTTGCTACGTCTGTGGAGAAGTGTGTTGTGGTGGTGAGATCTCAGGAAGGTATTTCAAGGTAGTTTCCCTCTGGCTAAGCAGCCCCTACCTCTCTGCTCTTTGTGGCTTCTAGTGCCAGATGCAGTGTGTCAGTGAATTGCAGTGACCCACCAAAGGAGTATTGCATCTCCATTCCCTCTTTGTGCACAGGACGTTTTCATTGTCTGTGGTGTACAGTTTAAGGCTGAGGAGAAAAACCTGCTCTTTCCTGAAGAATCCTTGCTCCACAGCCCTGTTTGTTTTCTATATAAAAAGTAAATGAATCAGAAGTGCTTTCCCTTGATCTAACATTATGAGTCAAAATTTCCCCTTTTACTGTTGATCCTGTGTGTGCAGTAGAAAGTGAAGAGGGAATTTTTGCCATCTTAAATGTTGGGAGAAGTGATAACTGTTGCAGAATGCTGTAACACTTGGCATTGTATCTTCATAGCGATGGTAGTGGCTCTGTAGAAATTTTAATTTCTACTTTCTGTGTGATTGTAGACTGATGCTATTTTTCTGGCAACAAATGATTCAAAAAATGTTTAACCTTATAAAACCGGATTTAACTTTTGAAGTAAGAATTAGTGTTAACTGGGTAACTTAATGTTACCTACATGAGATAAGCATAAGGATCTTTTTTCATAATGTAAATTAATGTCAAATGTTTCAGACTGTTACTTTTAATAACAGAAATAAACCAGTGAATTTTTAGTTGCATGAAAACCTTGAGTAATATTTTTAATTGTCTTTGCTGTCCTAAATAATAGTTTTGTGTCAAAATGAATGGTTGTGCAGCAAGTTATTGCACATCAGACTATCCTGGGAACATCTGCTTACTGTTTCATGTAATATATTATTAGCCTGCATCTATACCCATAAAGATACAGTTCTTTGTATGTTTAGTGGTGCACATATTTCTGGTTAGTGTAATATTAGAATTATCCTGGTACCAATTCTAATGATTATGCTAAAAATTTCTCCTGTATGATGAGCTGGACTCAACTGGCCTGTTGTAACCAGCTCTACGAAGGCAGAATAAACTGCACAAAGTAACTCCAAAGTATTTTATTAGTTGGTATATTAATCTGATCTTTTTCTAAAAAAATTGAAAACACAAACACCCTCCCAACCCCCCTTGATTAAACTTACAAATAATAATGAAACCAAACCAGAACAGGGTGAAAAGCTGTGTTAAGACACAAACTCCCAGAAAATTTTTAAGATTACACCACAGTTTCATCAGAGCTTTTCATTAAATCCACCAATTTAATTTCTTAGAATTAAAAAAGTCACAGGAAATTCTAAATTCATTGATCTACAATAATTTTTAATAGTTTTTCTATATTTGTTTCTGTGCTTTACATTGAGATTATGAATTGTAGTCAGTCTACCAAAGTTTTATAAACATAATCACGATATTTTCTCCTTAATTTATTCAGATATTTGTTTGACCTTTAGCTTCCTTTGATCACAGTGACAAGGACTGATTTGCATTAAACTGAATGTAGCCATCAGGGTTCGTTTGGGGGCACTTTTGGAAGATACAACTGTATAATTCAGCTGTTAGCTGTAGAAAGCTGACATTGGTTTATATGTAAAAGAAAGCAAAGTAAATGACATACTGAAATATAGGGGTCATAGAAAAGCATGGTGGTTACAGGCTAATCACAGCAGAAAACTGTGTTACTCAGATATTCTTCCTGACATTGTAACTACTGCCACCTGCTAGATTGCAGTGATGGGCACATGAATGCTCATATACCCTCCAGGACAGGGAATGTCAATGTGAAATGTCATGTGAACTCCCAGAGCAGTGGGAGCTGAAGTGCTGATTTAGGACCTTTGGGTGTTTACGTAACAGAAATAAGTACAGAATATCAAGAGCAAGACTTGAAACTTATTTAAATCCGAAGAACTGGAAGAGGTCTGATGTGGGTAAGCAGGAAGGAATGGTATTACAATAATCCTTGGTAACAGAATGCAAGGATAGTGGCCTGCAAATATTTTTGAATTAAATAAACTTACATGCTAATGCTTTTTCTATCGTGCATATAGATGACATCCTGTAAATGCATTAGATGCTGAAGGTAAAACCTGACACAACTAAAACATACTTCTTATCTTCCTTTTAATTCTGCTCCAATTAAACTGTGTGGAAGGCTTCTGCTGGAGGAGCAAGCAAGTACTTCTTGAAGAACTTAAACCAAATTTAGGGCTGGTACAAGTAGGTGTGTTTCTGTGCATCCCTGAAACCAACCTGTCCTACAACACAGGTTGTTACTCCCCATTTAGTTTGAAAAATTCTTTTTGCTCATAGGCAGGTTTTCACGCTCTGTTTTGGAGCTCTGCTTTCCACAATATATATTCTGCTGTCATTGTAGAACATCACTGTGAGCAGTGATGCAGATATAACACCTGTGGGAAAACCAGGAGGAGTTCTGAGTATTCAAGGGACAGATTCTACTCTCAAAAGGTCAGTTCACCTAGTTTCTCTCCAAGTCTGTGCAAATTACATGTGACTTTCTGCATGTTGCTTTTTTAAACTATTTTATTAAACCACTTTAAGTGTAGAAAAAAAAAAGAAAAATCTTTGTTTAAATGTTAGTGCAGCTTTGTTCTGATTAAACAAATTTGGAAGAGTAATAATGTTTTCTGAAGTCTGTGAAGTATAGCCTGTTCAGCACACAGTAAAAGAAATAGGTCAGAAAAGGTGACCTTGAAATCTTTTTTTCTGTATTGAACATGTCTATAAATTTGAAATTCATGAAGGAAACACCCTCATACTGCATTGATCCAATGCAATCAAAACCTTTTTTCACTGGGGAGTTTATTCAGTAGGCAATGTAGGCTTTCAAACCTGGATATTAATCATGTGCCATGAAGTTTCCTATCGATGATGATTATGGGATCAGGAAATAAAGGGTTCATAGTTTTAGGGACAGAAAAAGATGCATGGAAGCTGAAATATTCTGAAGTGGTCGCTTGAGATGCAATTTGTTGTTTAGTAGTTCAACTGTTCATGTTATACCAAGAGCACTACAAACATCCATGAAACACTTATGTACCGAGCAAGTTTATGCTTGACTAGCTTTGTCATTTTTGCCCAAATCTAATATAGCAGTGGTAGCGTGAATATGTTGTTTGTGCATTCTTTCCTGCTTGCTGTGCTAGAAGAAATGGAACAAAATAATACTAAGCAAGGAGCCTTGATGTGAGTTGGACGGAGAATCTCTATCTGGAAATCAGTTCAGGAGATGGAGAGGCGTAGAGGTATGTTAAAGACACGTATGTATGTATGTGTATGTGTGTGTGTGTGTGTGTGTGTGTGTGTGTGTGTGTATGCTCTGGATTTGGAGCCAGAGGTCAGGAGTTGCGAGTTACCGTGGTAGCCTCTGTCTTGCATCCTCTCTGTGACCAGGCCCTGTAGCTACACGTGTCCCGTCACCAGTTGAAAGCTCTGTTGCAAAATGAGAGCTCTGCTGGCTTCTGGAGGTGCTACCTGAGGTAAACCCCAGACATGGATAGCAGCTTAGGGCAGGAGAGATCATGATGTTTCTGGGTTTTAATGTGGAAATTAAGAAAGCACTCCAGAAAACAGAATTCAGCATCTCTGTGTCCAGCAGCCAGTCCTGCCTGTGACACAACCCTGCTCGTGAATTTGGGTGGCCCCCAGTTTGCTGTTACTGATGTAGTGCTGGTGTGAGGGGCTGTGTGGAAAAGCTGAGAAACAGCAGCTATTAAAAAACAGGACTAGCAGAAAAGTGCTCAGGGGGCCTGTCTGGCTTACATAGCATAACTGTCACGTCCTGGCTCCCGTAGGTGCTAATTCTCTCAGCAAACTTAAGAAAATAAAACCCTGAAAAGGCTCATCCATGCTGAGAACAGCAACTTCATTCAGTGGAAGAAGGAAGCTTTGCTCTAGGAACTGAACACTCAACACTGCAGGCATTGCTGTCTTCCTCGGCTAGTCCAGAAAGTCCCTGAAGCCACTGCCTGTGGTGTGAGGTTGATGCAGCAGTGCTGAAATAAGCACATTACAAATACCTGTCCCAGCTGTGCGTAGGACATAGGTCCAATTTGACCATTTGCTCTTGGAGTGAGTAACAAATGCCCATCGCACTCTGCCCCAGAAGGTTGTGTTTCTGCATGCAGTAATGGAGAAGTAAAATTTGATGCAGAAGATGCTGTGGCTCAGGGGTGCTGTGGGCACATGCTCTGGCACACCTTCATGTAAAATGCCAGAACCTTGTCCCTCCCTCAGACACCTCTCAGGATCCCTTCTCGTGTGGCATATTGTGGAGAGGCTCAAATGAGGAGATTTTTGAGGATCTGTGGTACTGAGGCATAGGTTGTGGTGGCTTACAGGCTCCTGGGGATGTCGGTAGAGTGCATCAACCTGTGTTACCTTCCCGTTCGTACTGGCTGTGCCATAGGGCTCGGGGCTGTGCCAAGACAGCTGGGCACCATCGGCAGGGCTCCCCACAAGAGGGCAGCATGTGGCCCTAAGAAATAAAAAAGCCCGATTAAAACCGGTGCTGACAAACAGCCATAGGTTTTGGGTTAGGTCCTAAGTAGCAGCAGGCCTAAAAGAGTCGGCTGAAACGTGGGAGCTTTGTTAACTCCATGGTTCACGGTGTGCTTCTGTCTTCCTGCCCAGACATATGAATGTACCCATGAAGATCATCTTGCTGTCTTGGGCTGGCTTCAGCAGCTTTGGTAGGATCTGAAGGAGTATTTCCCAGTCCACTGGCAACTCTCTGCTTGACACATGTGCCAAGGAGGGAAATGTTGTTCTGGGTAGCTGTAACAGAAGCTCCAGGCAGCTTTCCTAAGGGCATTGGTACCATTAGCCAAAACACACAATTCAGATTTTTTTTTTTTTGTTTATCAGCTCTTGGTTGTAACCACTGCCTCTGATCAACCTTTTCCAAATTACAAGCAAGGAAATGTGCCGCCTGCCAGTTGTTGATTTCCAGGCAGACTAAACCTCAAAGGAAGCTGGAGGAAATGG